TTCAAATTCAGTTTGACAACTATTTCTGGGTGCCTGCAAGCTAAGAACTATTTATTATTTATGAAATCAAATACAGTAGAGGACTACTGACAAAATATGAAGCCTTGGAAAATAAAGGATAATCTTCACAATTTTAATGAGGCTTTTCCCACTCCACAAAGCCTTTCATTCAACCCACAGTGAAAAATTTAAATGCTACTTTGTGTGTACTTTTATTGTTTTCCTAATTATTTCATTATGACACAACCATAGATTTTTCTACTTTCCTATTATTACAAACTGTTGTGTGGGTTAAATAAGTTTCATAGGCTAGTCTGGTATTGTAATAAAAATTAATAACATTTTTTCTGTAGAAAAAATTCACTCTGTGTTCCCCAAAACCAACTTTAAAAAACATATTTATGTATTTCTATAAAATGTATTTATAGAAATGCAATTTGGGGACAGTTCAAATCCATCACCTTTGGAATGCATGGCGTTTTTCCAGAGCTGCCATATGTAACTATTCTGAAAAGTAACGAGGGTGAGTAAACTGTAGCTGGTTACTTGCCCTTCTAACACTTTCTGTATGTAGTACCTCACTGTCCACCAATTATTTCTAATTTTTAAAGTACCATCACAAAGGCTTTTATCATAAATAAGGCAAAACTTTGAGGATTTTATAGTTTCATTTCTCCATTTTTTTCCCTTTTTAAAATGTATTTTATTAAAATATCCTTCTTTTGCCCTTGTTCAACAGGTTTTTGTAAACTTTCTCCTCAGTAATTTTTTACTGTAAAATATATGGTCAACTATAGAAAATTTGAAAAATGCAGAAACAATAAAGGAAGAAACAAGAAAAATGCCCAGAACCCCACTATTCATAAACTACCATTGTTAACAACTTGGTGTGTTTTCTTTCTGTCATATGTCTGTGCATAGTTGAGATGTATATACATACACATTTTGAAATCGCCACCATGCTACACCTTCAGTAAGGCAAAAGAAATGATAAATCCTGATACGATGAAACCTCTGGCAAGCTCTCTCTCTTTCCTTATAATATTTTAAATCTATTATGTAAATATCATCTTATTTGAGATTTCCTTAAACCCTTTCAGCAATGAAAGTGGGGGAAAAAATCCTTCTCCTCTGACTTTTAAAGCTTCATCAGATATGTCACCCAGACTAGAAAGATTTCACGGTGACCAAGCAGAAAGTCATGAGGACTGGCACCCTTCTCATGCACCTTGCCACCTCTTCGTCCCCCTCAGACACGTGGAAACAAGAAAGGCAGAGACCTGGGTCAAGTCATCCGAGACATGGCCAACAGTGCTTCCATGTCTGCAAGAGAAATGTGTGTACACATCACAGCAGTCAGTCCAATGATACGTGTGTGTGTGTGTATGTACATATACGCATATGTACATTCCACCTCTCCCCATTATATGTCTGAACCAACAGTATACATTTACATATTCACAAACAAATAATCGTTTTAAGTAGTGATAAATGCCAACAAGGAGAACAAGCAGGGGAATGTGATAGAATGTATTGGTAACTACTTAAGCTAATCTGGTTCCCCATCAGGCAAGGCTCTTCTGCATGGGTGACCATTGAGTTGGGATCTCAGTGATAAAAGTGACGCAAAAGTGCAAAGATCTGGGAGAAATGGAAGAGCATTGCAAGTTGGTGGAACACCCCCGAAGTGGGCAAGCACTGGGCTTACTGGAAAGAAACAGAGGGTGTGGCTGGGCCAGTGAGGGGGGCTGAGAGGAGGCCCAGGTGTAGTGTGAGACAATTTCTGCTTCAAACCGAAGTGCTCTGTAGAAAATGGGGCAAGGATAAAAACGAGGCACAGACAGCTTAGGAGGCCAAGGGGAGCGTCACAAGGGCCTGACTATGTTGGTAACCATTAATGTGTCATTTGAGAAAACAACAAATTAAAACAATTATAAATTTACTCAGGCAGTTCCAAAAAGTGTCTAAGTGGATTTGGGGGAAACCTGGGGAAACTTGCTTTCATGTTACATCGTAATCCTCACTTCAGATTTGCCCCGACTTGTGGGCAGAGAGAGGTGGGTACCCCATAATGACACAGGCAAGCCCCACCCCATAAAAACAAGGGCACTTCAAGACTTAAAAGGAGACAGATTGTTTTTCTTTTCAGTTAAGATAAATTGGGGTGCTCTTGAGAAAAAGAGTAACCAGACCATGGGTCAGCCCTCAATGTTCCAGGATATTATGCAGGTAACTTCCCATAAAACACTTGCCTGAACCTGTCGCTAAAGCTTGAGTGCAACACGTCAAAACGGGTGAGTCTGAAAAACTCCGTGCCGTGAAATCGGCCTTATGCAAAAGGGCAATGCCGCGTGATCCCATTCACATGAAGCCCTAACACAGGCAGTCTGTGGTAAGTGTAAAGCAGTCAGAGCACTGGTTCATGGTGTGGGGGCGGGGTGGCCTGGGAAGCGGGAAGGGACATGAGGCGCTCGCAGGGCGACGGTCTCCTGTATCGGGAGAGGCGTGCAGGCTCCACAGGTGTGTGCATTTGTGCAGACTTGATTATCTCACAGTTTGTGCATGTTACCTCAACAACAACCCTGAACTAATATTGAACTGTAATCGGAGGCATGCCAGCGTGAAGTGCACTGATGTCTGAACCTTATTGTCAAATGCGTCAAAAACAAGATAAAGCGAACATAATAAAATGCTCATCTAAGGATGCTCGGCAGCCTGTTTTCTCAGCTTTTCTATACACTTGGGAATCGTCACATTAAAATCTGAAGTCAAAACGCTAATAAGGGCTTTGTCAGGCCTGTGTCCTGGGCCTGCTGCTCTAGATTCCGTTAAATTTGTCTTTAGATTTGCACAAGGTGGAGCCAATCACTTTTTGAATGAATGATGAAGGCTGCACAAGTACAGTCTTCTTGAAATTATTATTTTTTTCTATAATGAAACAGCTGAATTTAAATGGTACCTGTTCTGTTTTTACTGACACAGCTTCCTTTCTCATTGATTTAATAATAAAAATTCCTTGGTTCAGCTGAGAGAAACTTGTAAGCTGATATCGTTGCTCATTTAAAACAAAAGCAACTCTTATTGTTTCCTTCCCTCCATATACTGAAGAAGCTCTTCTGAAACGTACTCCAGCCCCGAGTTCCAGTCGACACTCTTAAAGAGTGTCGACTGGAACTGTGGTGTAGGTACGTGTGGCTACCTACACCACAGCCAATCAGTTAGGCTGACATTGAGAGACCATAGCCAGTCAGCTAAGAAAGCAGTTTTTGTTTCAAGGTGTGCCAACTGAAAGGTCATGCGCTATCTTCAAAACTCTGTGCCGACATCGGTGGTGGCACCTTGCAGGACTTTCGAGTTGAGACATCAGTCTGGCCCCATCTGCACACATCGCAGCCAACCATGTACAACTGTTCCAGCCTGAGGTTGCCATCAAAGCAGCCCACGGTCCTGGGAGAAAGCAGCCCGGAGATGTTGGGTCAGCCCCATGTTATGCTTGGAAGAATTATGGAGTCATGCTGCCCCGGGGACCAGTCGATAGGGGCTCCATCTTGTCGCTTGTCCTAGTTCCCATGTGACAGTTCTGTCTCCCACCGCTTTTGAGTGAGACCCCAGAAGGGGTGAAGAGGGAAACTCCCATAGAATCAAAGAGGAGGTGAAGATTGCTTTGTGTCTGAGGCTGGTGCGAATGCTTCGGGTTGGTTTTGTGGTGTCTGAAAGGGTGCTCTCGGCTGTGACACGGAAATACAAGAAGAGACAGTCAGATGGCGCTCTTCAGAACAGTCCCCATGAAGGGGGGACAAAGGAGCCTATATCACAGCAATGGAAATTAGAAAGAGTTGCTAAAGAAGGTGCCTGTGTGTTGACTTTGGCCTTGTCTTCGTGCCCAGCCACCTGCTCACTGATTGCAGTCGTGCAGACGGGGAAGGACCTGGCCAGTTCTGCATCTCACCTCCAAAGCCAGAGGCCATATTTCTTCACTCTGATGATAATTTCGGTTCAAAGTATAGTCCCTTAACAAGCTCCCTGCTTCAAAAGCCCCAAACCTCTTTGTTTTGTTATGCCTGCCTGAACATGTCTTTAAAGAGCTGGGTCTGTAAATACGACTTTATTATAATCCTCGGCTTTTAAACACAGACTACCAAGGGTATTTCCAGAGTCTACCTTTGTCCCCTAATTTACTTTTTTTTTTTTTTTGTATTACGTTTGATACTTTAGAACATTAGGGAGTTGTGTATGCTCAGGTTGTGTGCTGGCAGGGGACGCAAAGCAATTGAAACTCCATCTGTGTGGGGTGGGTTTGTACCAAGTGTGGACACACAGAAGGATGCGTTGGTTTCTCAGTCTCTGAGTGTGTTTTTAAATGTGTGTTTTCATTTCGCTATTTACTAAATCTTATATAATTAGACCTTTGGTTTATTCTTTGAGGCATTTGTTTAGAAGACTATTTTTAATCTCCAGCCAGCTGGGTTCCAATTTACCTTCTCATAATTGATTTCAGGTTGTACAGTGTGGTCAGAATATATCGCCTAGTGTATATTCCATTTGTAAATATTCTTTGGACACATATATGATGCGCTGTCTGTTTGCAAAGTAAAAAGTTCATTACATAGTTATTAACTCAAAGTTGTAATTATATTATTTACATGCCTCATGATATATGTTTTTTCTTACTAAAGCTTCTGCAGACTATTTTATCTTAAAGATTTTCATAGAATTCCATCTAGTTCCGTTTGAATCTTTAACATTTTTAAACAAGTCCATGCACCACAGGGATGAACTGCACCTTATAGAAACAGAATCATTTTTTTTTGGTCACATTTGCCTTAAATGACCTTTGACCAGATTTAACATTGTAAGTCGCTGAAGCACACAAAGTTAGTTGAAGTTTGTAATATTGTTTTATTTTAGTTTTGTCACTTTACTTGGCATTTCACATGATTTATCTCTCTCTCTCTCTCTCTCTCTCTCTCTCTCTCTCTCTCTCTCTCTCTCTCTTTCAGTTTGCCAAGGCACAAATAACAAGCTCACGCAGCTGGGCACTTATGAAGACCACTTTCTGAGCCTCCAAAGGATGCTGAATAACTGTGAGGTGGTCCTTGGGAACCTGGAAATTACCTACATGCAAAGGAATTATGACCTTTCCTTCTTAAAGGTTAGTGGAATGAATGTGATAGTCTTACGCAAACATAATAGAAGTAAATATAAGTAGATAAAAGGCCTTGGCATTTTTGGAATTTACCTAGATGTGTATTTGCTATTGCTGTGGCAATTACAAGTTCTAGGGAACCACAGATGCAAGTTTTATGAGAAGGCCACTTTCCCAGGTAGTGTCAAGTTATAAAAGAATGTCAAAGAGAAACAGGGTAGGCTGGCCTTCCACTATCATCGTAGACACTGATATGAATCTTTTCACCATTGCTTTACCTGTGGTGTCCTGGAATACAGGCTCTTCGTTTTGTAAAAGCCCTGCTTTGTAGCATCCGCCCATTCCCTTGGTGTAAATACTCCCACCATGGTTGATTTCCAGCTACCAAGAGTTTAACTACCAGTTCACAAAATTTCTGAATGTTTTGCGATAGGCTCCAGCCAGCTCTGAAGGCTTCAGAGTTTGGTGGTAGTTGAACTTTGGATTTGATTGGCCTGCCTCTGGTGTGTGTGTGTGTGTGTGTGTGTGTGTGTGTGTGTGTGTGTGTGTGTGTGTGTGTGTGTGTGTTTCAGTGAGAAAGTAGGCAAGTCAGATACAAAAGAAATTAATGAAGTATTTCCATTTTCATCTGAGTGTGTTGACCGCCAGGCAAAATGAGAGTCCCAGCGTCCCTGAACAGTACGCGTCTCCCTGCATTACCGCCAGCAGGCTGGAGAGACACAAGGGCAGGAGTGGCCATGAATCCCGTCACCTTCCTCAGATGTAACCATCCGCGTGCTTTACGCTTGTCAGCCACTCGAGTGCATGGTTCAGTTCGGTGTCGTGGGCTCTCTGGACCCATTTTAGACCTTGCCTTCCTGAGCTCCTCAAAAGAGAAAGACCATGTTCACATTTTGTCTCCTTAGACCATCCAGGAGGTTGCTGGCTATGTCCTCATTGCCCTCAACGTAGTGGAGAAGATTCCTTTGGAAAACCTGCAGATCATCCGAGGAAATGTACTCTTCGAAAACACCCATGCCTTATCAGTCTTATCCAACTACGGTGCAAACAAAACGGGACTGAGGGAGCTGCCCATGAGAAACTTACAGGGTAAGAGGCCAGGGCATGAGGACCTGGAAATGTGTAATCACGGAGAGCCACTCGGTTGGGACTCAGCGGACCTGTCGCTTTCCTTAATTCCACTCAGAGTAGACTTTTACTCATCAAGGACAAATGTATTGCGTGCCAGCCATGCAAGACACAGCACGTGGAAGTTCCCAAAAAGGTGGTAGATAATGAGATAGGAAGGGAAGACGTCAGTCAGGTACTGGTTCTCCCACGTTCATGGAAAAATATCCAGCGAATTAGTAGGAAATGGGAAAGGTTCTGAGAAAAAGAGAATATGGCCAGACGACCTGGGCTGGAAGGCAGACGTTGGGTGCCTAAGAAGTGAATAAACAGCCAGTCTTAGTACCTGACCGCAGATGTAAGGGGCATACATTAAAAATCAACCCCTATTTGAAACCATGTTCAGAGTAATGTTGTCACATGGAAAGCCATGTTTAAGTTAGGAGAGGTAATGGAGGTGTTACAGGAGAGTTTGGATTCTTGTCACTAGGACATGTGTGAGGGTGCTGTGAGAGGAAATATGGAAGATGAGAGAAGAGATGGGAAGTTGATTTTTTTTAAAAAATTGAAGATAACAGTGACAGTACCCTCGCTGTGTGGCCAGTGCAGTGCCAGGCATGTTAAAAGGGTCACTTCATTTAGTGCCACAACCTTCCTTGGAAGCAGGTGTGACACTGTGCCATTGTACAAATAAAGAAATGGTGGCAAAGGAGCCTTCCAAAGTTCCCAAACTAGGTAGAAAAGCAAGTCTCTGTCCCCAGATCCCTCGCCTTTCCCATGCACTGTACACTTCTGAATTACTGTAGATAAGGCACAAAGGACCAATTTCTGGTGTTGGGGTTGGGGTTGTATAATTTCAAATTCATGTTATTAAATAATTCTTGAATGTGAATTATTTAATATTAGTTACATACTGTTATTGATAATTAACCCAGTACCTGTCACGAAGTGAGCAGTCATCAAATGTTGAAAGGAAAGCTTAAAGGACGACTGCCTCTGGAGTACCCCCCTCTCTTCCGAGCTGTCCGGCAGGGACACCTGAGCCCCCCAGTACCTTTTCTTCCCACAAGTGCCGATGGCAGGTGCTCTGTAAGGCCCCACCTCGACCTTCATCTCACACTCTCTTTCTTGGCACCTTGGTCCGTTGTCCTAATTGTCACAGCAGCCTGGACATCCCGATTGTGTGTTTCCAGTTCTGACCTCTCGTCAGAGTCCCAGCCACTTGACTGTGGCTCCCTCCCGAGTGAATGTGTCACTTGATTATCCTGCTGTCATCTCCGACTTCACATCCAAAGCTCCACAGTTTGGCCCTTTCCGACCTCCCAGCCTGTCGCCGTGATTCCTTCGTTCTCCACCAGGCACTGAAGAGTTTGCCCGCCATGCCAGCCTCCATGCCTCTGCCCTGACTCTGGTTTCCTCAAGGCCGCAGTGCCCTCCCTGCATTTTCCACTACAGTTCGCTCCTGTCAGCCTTCCAGGACATGTCATTCTTTCCAGCAGGCTCAGAGATCTTCCTGGGGAGAACCTTTTCTTTTCCACGTTGGTGCTTTGTGCACGTGGCACATCCATTCCCTGCCTGGGGGATGGTAGACACTCTTTATGTATCTGTCTTTAAATTACAGATAGTCATAGGACCATTGTGAGGATTAACTCAGATAATGCATATAAATTAACCAGCACGGTGCCTGGCCCTGCCACGTGCCGTGGCCTTCTGTGGGCGTGAGCTTGTTCACTGTGTGCCCTTTCCGTCTCCCCATGTGTGTCCGGTCTTAGAAGCCAACATGTCTGATTTCTCTTTGCAGACCCCACACGGAACTTGCTACAGTATTTTGTGCATATAAGTCATTCAGTAAAAATTATGTTTCACGTCGTTGATACAACACTCTCCCTTTTCTCTGCCTTGATGTTTTGGTTTTTTGGGTTTTTTTAATTACCCTTGATTTTTCATGTCCTATCACTTCTTCCTTTGAAACAATCACTCGGTCTTTTATGTCCTTTGCATTCCTGTGTCCGCCCTGCCTCTCCATTATACACACAGATCCTTCTTGCTCCACGTCACTCTCACCCCTTGCAGTGTTACCACCATCTCCTGGCATCCGCAGCTCACCATGCTGGCGATGGCCACCACCCTTCCTGTCCCATCGACCCCTTCAGATAGAGACGTCATGCAGTCATTTCAGTGTAGCCTGGACCAGCCTCCCCGGGACCACAGACTCACTGAACACTGTGCCCACCAACTCAAGCATTTACCTCCCTTCCTCCTCATATTTCTACATTCTGATCATTCGTTGTTCAAAGGCCCAACGCAAGGGAGATCCGACCTCCTCCATGGCACTCATGTTCCATCTGCCCCACTGAAGTTCTGTGAGGGTCTCGCTTGCACGCTCGCATCTTTTTTTAGCTGAGCGCTACATGTAGAGAAATGCATGCCCAGTTTGCGAGAGCTTGGAAGAGACGGCAGGTGTGCTCACTGGGGTTCTTGCCTCACGCAGAAATCCTGCAAGGCGCCGTGCGATTCAACAACAACCCTGCACTCTGCAACGTGGACACCATCCAGTGGTCGGACATCGTCGGCAGCAGCTTTATGAGCAATATGTCGACGGACTTTCAGAACCAGCTGGACAGCTGTAAGTGTTCCACACGCGTCCCCGCTGCCTCCAGCTCCTGGGCTGGGGGTGGAGCTGTAGAGTGCTGGGGTGGCAGGAGAGAAGGCCGAGTTACGTGACGTCACATTAATCTAAAACAAAGAACGGTAAACAAAGCATCTGGAAGAGGCCGGCTGAAGGCAGAATTATAGGCAGACCTTGAATTCATTGGTTGGCAAATGTTTTCCTCTGTGACAGAAAGGTGCCATTAAGCATTTTTAAGTCTTTCTCTTTTATAAGCCGCTCATGTGCTTGTAATAGAAATTTGAAAAATATGGGAAGCATAGGTAACACGTAGAAATAACGTGATGCTTCTATACAGACACAATCACTTAGAAGATTTCTGTGGATGAGCTTTGCTCTTTCCTCTCTGTTTCTTTCTCTCTTGGTCTCTCTCTTCCTTTGCGACATGCATCCCCATCCATTCAGGCTTCAGCCTCACCATCTTTCATCAGCCTCACATTCGTGCCCTCCACCCCTGGGGGCGATTGTCAGAACTGTCCGTCATAGTCACGGGGTGACCTGGTTCAACAGTCACTTGGTGTATCATCAGCTCTTGCATTTGAAATCTCAGTTCTTCCAGAGACTAAATTCTCCTGACTGTGAGAGACTTGGGGACACAGATCAACTCCTTCGGGTGACTGTGTCTTTGCAACGAAATATAGTGGCATGGCCGATTGCTTTTTAACAAATGTGGTGGTCAACCTGTTCTCTATCTACCGATAGAACACTTCGGTCTTCAGATTTCTCAATGCTGATGAAAACAAAACGTAACTCACGAGATTAAACACTGTGGTAGCTGTAATTTGTAGTTGACCATCATTTATAAAAACTGACACAATTGATCAATATTTTCAGACAATAGCTTGCAAATCAATAGCTGAGGTTTTAGATAATTAACAAAGTGATACACGCTGTGGACATTTCCCTGTGAGCCGCATTCTGTGCCTGTCTCGGGCTGGAGTCTAGGAGTTTATAGTTACAGGACTCTAGCTCCCCAGGACAACGGACCCACCCAGTCACTCACGACTGGACATAACCAGTGTCATGGGCGCATGAGACCCCTCCAGGTTAGATGCTCTTAACAGTAGTGTGGAGATGCAGGAAAATTCACCAGGCCTCAGCAGGGTTGAGATCCGCACCCTTGAGTTCAGTAAAATCTCAGTTTTTGTGGCCTGTGACAAGTCCACAATCACTGCCTCAGTGTCCACAGCTGAAATGTAAATAAAAGCAGTTCGTGGCTCATCTTTTTTTTTCTTATGAGAGTCTTTTAAATCATCTTACAAACCAACCAGCCAAACCAACAGAGAATAAGAAATTTGGAAGCTATTCCTCTTTTCTAAAATGTTATTTTGCTCAGGGTCTTAGAAAGGATGCCATCAGTTTCTTGTCATTTGTTGCCTTTCGCTAAGATAATGAATTTAACTATTGCTTTTATATTTTAGGCCAAAAGTGTGATCCGAGCTGTCCCAATGGCAGCTGCTGGGGCGCTGGGAAGGAAAACTGTCAGAAACGTAAGTCAGTGAGCAGAGTTCAGATAAGCCTATGGCCACCCCCACCCCCCTACACTTAGCTGCCTGTGTTGGCTTTCCCTTTGAAGACGCCAAAAAGCATTCTTGACTATAAGGCAGAATGTTAGCTGTCCTATGAATGACAGCCCTGCAAATCTCCCTGCCAGCGGTTAATCCAGGGTGGGCTATTTTGGGCACCTCGGCCTGTCATAAGCGAAAGCCAGCGGCCCATATACCAGCCATTCTCTCTGACCACTATGTTTGGCAGCGTTTCCTGGAAATGGAAGACTTGTCTGTGTTACCTGAGTCACTACACGTCTTGTTTCCTCACCCTTCCCCACCTTTGGTACCCACCTACATAAAAGCACAGGCAACTCTTCTCAAGGGGGTTTTTTCTGCAGGAATCCTAGTGTAGGAGCATGGGGGGCCAAGGAATCTGGGGACCTGTCAGCTTAAAAGCTAACCGCCTGTCTTTAACAGATCATCAACTACGAGACATGACAGTTACGAGACATGGAAGTTTTAAACACTACTTCCTGGCATGTATTTCTGTTATTCGTATATGCTTTCCGTATTATCCCAAAGCCCAGTTCTAACTCGCATCTAATGTTTAGCCAGTCTAAAAGTCTAGGCTTGATCCGGTCAGTGTTCCTAAGTGATTAAAAATAAACAGGGGGAAGAAAACAGAGGTGCGATGAAGAAAAGTCATGATTCGATTGAATCTGGCAGAATGTGACTGTTTGGGGACTTGAACAAGAGCAGAATCACAAAATCCATCCTTTTGTTCACTTTTCCATCCTGTTTTGCAAGTGCTCTGCAAGGTTCCGGGGAAATGACCTTTCCGCCCTCCCTGCCCTTCAGCTCACGAGTGACCTTTGCTCCTTTTCAGTGACCAAACTCATCTGTGCCCAGCAGTGTTCAGGACGCTGTCGCGGCAGGTCCCCCAGCGATTGCTGCCACAACCAGTGTGCGGCTGGCTGCACCGGGCCCCGGGAGAGCGACTGCCTGGTAAGACCCGCCTCCCGCAGCCTCCATGGTGTTGGGCCTGCAGGCGCTGCGTGCTGCCCCTCACCCAGGCACTCTGCAGGGCTCCCCTGCCCCAGGGTCTGGAGGCGCTTCCCGGGGTTGGAATGTATTGATTAGCGTTTGTGGGAGCAGACAAGGATGCTGCCCTTTGCAGGGTAACAAAGCATCTTTTATTGTCCTGCCTTTACCACTTACTTTGTGACCTTGGGCGAATTCTGGGACCTCTCTGTGCCTTGGTTTCCTCCTCTGACAATGGTGGGCAATGGAGCACCTATCTGTTAAGTGGTCTAAATGGCATAATGCATGTGCCATTCGTAACTAGGCCCTGGGCATAGAATGCACATAAATAAGGGTCACTTGTCAGCACTGTTTCCTATGGCAGCAGCTGCATTATCACACTATTTGTGGTTTCACTTAATTCTCATTACAGACCTAGGGTGTTGATACCATAAAGACCCCCGAATATGCACAGAAATGTTAAGAAACCCACCCAGAGCCACACAGATCTCGAGTGGCACGGCTGGCACTCCGCCATGCCCCAGTCCCTCTGCTCTTTCCACCATGGCCCAGATGCCTCCTCAAAGGGCCCTGAAGTGCTCACTTTTGTCCCCGTTTCTGCAGAGAGCGCTAGGAAAAGCCTTGTTGCCCCATTGGGCTGTGGGGGCCACACGTAGGCTGCACCTTGGGTGTGAGAAGTCCTAGAGGCGCCAGGGTTGGCAGGCATGAGTCCTGGAGTCAGCACCGAGTGTGACAAGACCCTCGTCACTTCCAGACAAGGAGGCCCACCTAAGGTGGGATCCAAAACACTGGTTTCAGGGACGGGGAGACTTTTAGATTCCGAAGGCTCCGCCCAGCCTCAGGACTTTGACTCAGCTGGTCCGGGCTGATGCCAAGGTACAGCGCGAGGGGAAACGTGGTGTGCGATTCTCCGAGCCACCACTGCATTTCGGCTGGTCCTTTCTAGGCAAGGCTTTCTGGGGTGTGGCAGTAAATTCTAAAACGTATCCTCAAGTGTTCTCTGTAAAGGAGCCCAGTGTAAATAGAGTTTAAAAATAATGTCCCTCCAGAGTTACCACCCTACTGTAGAAACTCCTTTGTCATTTTGTCAATTAAGAAAGAGATGTATTTTCCAATCATCATAATCCACAGAGTATCATAGCTGGGAGAATATATTTAGGAAAAGCCACGCTTTTAAGAGCAAGGCCTTTCAACTGTACTGAAAGTACTTTGCTAGATTTTTCTGCTGTAACTGAACACCTGATCATTAAGAACTGTTACCTGAGCTTTCTGACAGAATCATAATGGTGCTGAGTGTCCCTGTTCTGCTTGACCAGCACGTGTCATCCCTCCTGTGACAGGTGTTATGCTAAACATCAAAGGTTTTTCCAAATGAGAGGCAGCGAGCATTGATTTGAGATAAAAAAAGAATAGCTATGGGGGACGCACGATTCAACCAGCAGCCCAAACAGTGTCCTGATTAGGAGACACAGGCGAGAAAGGACAGGGGGACAGTTACATACACAGAAGGAAGGATTTCTATTGGTGCAGATCACATGGCACTAGTTCTAAACTGTGTTTTAAATTTTCAGTCCAGTAGTTATAATATCTACTTGCTTTCTTTGCAAACAGTTCTTTGGGGCACAATGTTGCTTTAGGCCCAGTCCAAAGGTTATGTTGCCCCATTCTAACATCTGGAAGGTTTGAGGCATAAGATGTGCAGGGCTGTTCCTCTGGGCGGCAGCTCCGACTCCATTTTAAAGGGTCCCCATTCGTGTTGTTTCTTCCACAGGTGTGCCGCAGGTTCCGGGATGAAGCCACATGCAAAGACACCTGCCCGCCGCTCATGCTCTACAACCCCACCACCTACCAGATGGACATCAACTCAGAGGGAAAATACAGCTTTGGCGCCACCTGTGTGAAGAAATGCCCACGTGAGTTCATCACCTGGGAAGCCCTTTATTTACCGGCATCAGTTTCCTGTTTTGTCTCCTACCGGAATCCATGCGTCCCCTGTCTTTGGGTCGGTGTGTTTGCCTCACTGTCAGGCATATAACTGAGGGTCTGTCCTATCCAAGTGCCGATGAGAGGTAGGCCACTGTCCCAAGTGACAGGCAGTGGCTGCTGTCCTCTGTTCATCAGCATCTCTCTTGCTATGGTGGGCAGGACAGGAAGCACACCTGTTGTGCAGCCCCCGGAACTGAGGTCCTGCTCTGTTAGTCCAGAATTTTCAGCTGTCTCATTGGCACACACCCCATGGCCATTGGGTCATTTCACTGTTTGGCTCTTGTACAAAACAGGTATTTAATAGACCTAAATTAGAGAGTATGTGACAAGACCTGCCTTCTTTAGCCATTGCAATTCTGGTGAAAGTTGTGCCCTGCAGGGGGTTTTGTTGGTTGTTTTCATTCTTTGGGCTGTGTTGTGCACCTTTGTATTTGCAGCCTACTGGCAGCTCCCATGTTTATGGAAATGGTGACATGCATTATTTCCTAATAGAAAAAACATAGTGTTGTCTAATTAAAGAAACGCCTTGATTTCTAGGAAGGGAGATTAAGAAAAAAAATTCTGAGAACAATTAAGAGGGGTGATTTGCCCTAGCAGGTTTGTGGAGATGAAAATCTTAAAATTCCATACAGGAAAAATAACACAGAGATCAAATAATAAGCCATTGTAAGGTAAATGACAAGCTAAGAAAAATTGTCACAGTTATGACACAGATACAGTCCTTGAGAGAGGGTTTAATAGGTAGGGTTTTAAAATCCACAGGAAAACTCTTAGAGCCTAAGAGAGCGAAAGCAGACAATTCACAAAAGACAAATGACCAATGGCCAAGGAATATGTTTGAAGATCTACTTGGGGTAGTCAAAACAAGAGCACATGGACTTCCTGAAGAATGTTAATGTTTGTGCTAATATTAACACACACGAATTACTTCAAGGGTGAGGGGAGGCTTCACACAGAACCAGGTGGTCCGCCGGGCAGGAGGGGCCCACGCAAGGGAGGCGTCAGCCCCAGGAATTAGATGCAACCTGCAGTGTACCAGTATGAGTAGAAGAATGATCTTTGTTTAGGTACACGTATTTTTAACAAATATTCAAGCTTTAACCATAAGTCCTGAAGGTAAACCTTACAGAAAAAAGTGAGCTGCAAAGAGGTGTTTTAAACTTGGGAGCAGGCACGGTGTTTTATTCTCCGTCGTACATCTGTTTGTTTCCGGCCTGTGATGAAATATCTTTATTTCTCCATTTCGTGGTCTGGACAGCTATGAAAACTCTTGAACTCGATTCCCTTTCAATTGCAGCCTTTCATTCTTTGTCCTTACAATAAATGAAGCCACAGGCTCATGGGTGCTTTTCAGCAGCTCCATTCCAGGAGGACATGAGACCCAGCCACACCTGGTGCTGCTGTCGCCACCTTCCTTTTGTTGTCTCTCCTCCAGGGAACTATGTGGTGACAGATCATGGCTCGTGTGTCCGTGCCTGCAGTTCTGACAGCTACGAGGTGGAAGAAGATGGGGTCCGCAAATGTAAAAAGTGCGAAGGGCCCTGTCGCAAAGGTAGGAGCCTCGGTTTTCTTGGGTTGGGCTTTCGTCTGGTCTGAAGCTGGGTTCTCTGCGCCCCACCAGACCCCCTCACCATTCACTTAGAACAGATTCGAGTAAATCTCTTCTCCAGGCTCGGAAATTTGCTCCTTCCTTTCCATTGTGCCCTGTTCTTGGAAAATCCTCGGGGCCAGTTGATCCCTACTGATCCTTCATTTCATATTTTATTTTGAAATTTTTCACGCATGCACACCTCCCAAATGGGGCAATAGTTGTACAATAAACATCCATATGCCCTTCAAATACATTCACCGGTTTTTAATATCTTGCCGCGTTGCTTTCACTCTCTCCATGTTTGTGTTTACATATGTGTGTGGATGTGGAAGGATGCATGTGTACGCGTATGTGTGTGGTTCTTTTCTGTACCATGTGGCCATTGTAGGTATTATCACATTTCACCCCTGCATATGTCAGCATACTTTCCTACAAACGGGGACATTCTCCTAAGGAACGCAGGACAGTTTCACACTCATCCCGAGTTGAACATTGACTCAATACTATTTTCCAGTATTAATTCAAACTCCTCCCTACTGTCCCAAAGAGTCATGTTTAGCTGTTTTTCAACCCAGAATCCAGTCAAGGCTTGTGGGTTTCATTTGGACGGTCTGTCTCTGTACTCTTCATTAATTAAGAACCTTTTCTCAGCACCCCTGTTCCCTGTTCCTTTTCTCGTCTGTGACCTGATGTTGTGAAGAGCCTAAGCCTCATGTTTAGGATAGAGAGGCATTTGAGATGGAAATTCAGGAGTGGATATAGATGAACAAATGAGCTCAGAGTCTGGCAAAGGGTATTTGAAACTGACGTAGCAATAGGACACAGATCAAAGCATTTGAGTGAAGTGAACACCGTGGAAGAAAAGCAGTTGAGTTATCTGATAAAAGTTATTACAGTATTTTCCGGGATGTAATATCAGGGAGCCATTAAAAAATCATGTTTGTGAATGGCTTTAATGATAGGGCAAAAGTCCACAGCATAACAAGTAAAAAAAAAAAACCCACAAAATACTAACTACATATCTAGTGAGATATAACCATGGAGCTTATCTAGAAAGGAATTTTCTAAAATACTAACGGTAGATAGTAGAATTACTGGTCACTTTATCTCTCTTTATTCTGTTTTCAGTGTTTTCTCAAATGAACGCATCTTACTCTTTGAATTAAAAAAAAGCTGTGTGTATTTTTTCTTTGCGGTAGAAGACGAAGCTGCAACCATAGTTAGGGGAATGGAAACGGGGTGAAGGCTCAGTCAGAGATAGCAGTGGGAGCCATGCACAGACCAGCACTCACAGCAGTGGGCGGATTGCACTGCTGTGACTGGAAATAGAGTCGTTAAGAGTGATTAGACTCTGGTCTGAGCAGGAAATACTGAGGAGGACGCAGTCCCGTGAGGACAGCCGCGGAGTGGCCTTCTCTAACCGTTGTAACCCCAAACCCCGCCACGGCTGCTGGTACCTCGTGGGCTCTCCCTCACTGTTTGTTGAGTGAATGAATGATGGCATGGGGGTGACGGTTCTCACGGCTACACCTCCCTTCCTGCTCTCCTCTGCTTATGGAACCCCAGCTGTGCCTAATTCAACACACGTGAATGGAATAAACGTCTCCCCTCTCTTGACAGTTTGTAATGGAATAGGAATTGGTGAATTTAAGGACACACTTTCCATAAATGCTACAAACATCAAGCACTTCAAAAATTGCACCGCCATCAGCGGGGATCTTCACATCCTCCCTGTAGCATTTAAGGGGTAAGTCCCAAATTGAGTCACCGGTGTAGGTAGACACAGCAAGGTCGGTCTTGTCCACGGTACGTTGTTAATCGCTCACTGTTCCGTTACTTGTTTCAGTGACTCCTTCACACATACTCCACCCCTAGATCCGAAGGAGCTGGATATCCTCAAAACTGTGAAGGAAATAACAGGTGAGTGCCACTGACATAGCATTACAAACGTCAGTGGGAAATCCCTCTTTTCTACACTTTCTTCTCCTTGGCATAAAAACATTTCTTCTGACCTGCTACCATTAATGAGTAATTAGCTCTTTGATAGTTTTCAGAAATGCAGTTTCCTCTGCATGTGACAAGTGAACCTATGAGCAAAGCCTCGGGTCCCTCCCAACTGTGTGTGAATGTGGTTAGTCCCTCACCTCCCAGCCCAGCCAGCCATCCAGACAGCTGGTGAGGGACACGGCAGCTAACACAATAAGGGAGCAGCAGCCTCGTGGACTAGACTTCCCCTCCCTGGTCCCCACTGGCAGGCCTCAGGTCCAACCAAGACTGCCATCAGAGCCCCGCATCCTTAGTCCCTAAAAAGGGAACCATTCGACCCAAACAAGATTGGTTTCAGGATTGGAACCAAAGAAGGAAAGTGGGCAAACCCCCTTGTATGCAAAAATAGCTCAATACACGGCTACTGTCACCAATAGCAAGCGGGAATCTGTTTGGAGAACCCACTACGGAGCTCAGCGAGGCCATTGGGGCCACAGCAGTTGGGGACAGCCTGCTGGGGGGGGGGGGAGAACTCCATGGGGGACACAGGATACCCGTTGTACAATTGTCCTTGGCTTGCATGTACGCGTGTGTGTGTACATACTCGATGACAATGACAAGAAAAATCAAATGTTCCCACTTCCTGTTCATGCTACAATCTCCTGAGAATCCTGTAATAACGTCTCATACAAAAGAAGAAATTTCTAAGCAGTGTGTGTCTGAACCTTCCTTCTGCTTCACAGGGTTTCTGCTGATTCAGGCCTGGCCAGAAAACAGAACTGACCTTCACGCTTTTGAGAACCTGGAGATTATCCGAGGCAGAACAAAGCAACAGTGAGTTGACCCCAGCCAAAGCTTGGCAGATTCTTTCTAGACTTTTATTTTGAAATGACACCTACAGAAGTCTTGCAAAGATGCCACAGGGAGTTCACCCGGGGTCCCCTCATGTTCCCTCCCATCTTACGTAAGCATGGGACACGTATTAAAATGAAGAAATCGGTGTTTGCACAGCACTGTTTCACTAAAAGTAAAGACTTTATTTGGATTTTGCCAGCTTTCCCATGAACACCACCTTCTTCTGCCTCAGTGTCCAGTCCAGCATCGCACAGGCATTTAGTTATGTCCCGCTAGTCCCCTGCAAGCTATAGCCGTCCCTATGCTTTTCCTTATCTTTCACGGCCTTGACACTTTTGAAAAGTACTGTTCAGGCATGTGGTACAACGGAGGATGTTTTCTCATGATTCGATTGACATTATGCATTTTTTGGTAAGAATAGCACTGAGGTGACACGTCCTTATTGGCACATCATATCAGGGAGACCAGAGAGACTTTTTAACATTAAATGTCTCTTTCAGGATTTCCACGTTTCCAACTCTAACAGTGACACACACACACACACACACACACACACACACACACACACACACACACACACGCATCTTTAACAATAATAAGTGTAATCATGAATTTTATGGTGAAGAGGAATTTGGGGATCTCTTGGTCAAACCTGCCTTGGAAACAGTCTGGTTCTGAGAACTGCTCCCCATAATTGACCCCTAAAAGGACTACATAACATTGCACAATATTAGAGAAACTCAGAATGCAGTGCACGTTAAATAGCCATCGCTTCTCAAACACCATTGGCTCTGCGTCTCCGATGCTGACACGCAGCTGACACTGTTGCCAGAAAGACCCCCTTGTGCTGCGTCCTCAGTGAGACTTCTTTTGTCCAAGGTTCATCCAGAGATGAGAGGTTCAGATCAGTGTTTTGGGGGTGACTGGTATGTACCTCTCGGCTCAGTTTTAAGGATTTAAACAAGAGAAGGATTAATTTTTTTTTCCATATTTCTTGAGAAGTCCAGTGACACACAGATTTCTGGGCAGGGTGACCCCTGGTTCCAGCCTGTGGCTCACCAAAGCCAGGCCTGCCTGCAGGGAAGACCCCCGCACTGTCCCTGGTGTCATGGCTTCCTGGGCACGTGTCAGGGAAGGGTTCCCAACAGCAATGGCTTTTCCCAGGAGCCATGTCGCAGGAAGAGGGGAAGAAAGAGTTGGGGAGAGAAAGAGAAAGAAGGAAAGGAGTCTCCAAATTATGCTCTAAGCTTCTGTCACCTCGTGTATTAACCAATAGTCCCTTCATTCAGTGCTATCTCACTGGCCCACTCCCTGTCCCCATGTCCAATGAACTTCCTAAGAACACAAGTCCCCTTCCCATGCTTCCCCACGTCTGCACACAGCGCCCCGAGCTCCTGTGCTCTGGCCTTTCCCACCCTCCCTGGGGGCCTCTCTTGGGCCTCGCTGCCTCCACGTTGCTGCTGCACAGCACCTGTCAGCACCTGGCATGTACGTTCTTTCCTTTGTGCTCCTGCTGGTGATTCGGGGCTTCCCTCCTTTTAATCTGAATAACTTTCGTCCAGTCACTCGAGGGACATGTGTTGACCACCTTGTACGATCCTTGTCCTCTCTGCTTCCACGGTGCCCATTGTCACGATACTCATGGTGCCAGGTTAAAGTTACCTGCTCATATGATTGTATCCCCATTAGACCAAGGGTTTCCTGAGAGTAGGATATATACACATAACCTACATAGAATTAATCACATATTATTACTTCAAATCTTTGTTCAATAAATGCATGGGTGGGTGAGTGGATGGGTGGGTGGATGGATGGAAGGGAAAATGGACCTATGACTTTTGAAGTCTATTTGAATGTTTGAGAGATTAGAATGTGTTATCAATTCTCAGGCAAAATAAAAATGCAGTAAATAAAATAATGACATTAGGATATTTATTCAGCCCCAGTCTGCCACTGGGATTAAAGATACTAAAAGAACAAAGAACCAGCTTTTCCCTGGAGGAGTTGAAAAACCACTTGCAATTTTCAAAAGTTCCAATACATACCTTTCACAATGTGACTTATGACCACTGGAAGGCAGTTTGTAGTAAATCTAAAGTGGTCCAGAAAACACAAAATGAATGCTTTAGTGACGTTCTGTTTTCCTAGTTTTTCACAACATTCATTCTCTTCTCTCCAATGTAGCGGGCAGTTTTCTCTTGCGGTTGTTGGCCTAGACATAACGTCCCTGGGATTACGCTCCCTCAAGGAGATAAGCGATGGAGATGTGATCATCTCAGGAAACCGAAAATTGTGCTACACAAACACGATAAACTGGAAACAACTATTTGGGACCTCAAGTCAGAAAACCAAGATTGTAGGCAACAGGGCTAAAAACGACTGCGGTAAGGAATCACTTTGGTTTGATTGTGGACATGGCTCCATTGGGTCATTTATTTTGATGGAGAATACTGAAAGACCATTCCCAAACATTTAAATCACTTTTCTCATTCCTGAAGAAGCCACTTAAAAGGAGTCCATATAATCCTCATTGTGAACTTATCATGTGAAGTTCATCAGAATTGTTTCTAGATCATTCTCATTTCATAGGTTAAATTTGCCTTGAGATTCACGCTATCAATTATTTGTAATTTACAGAACTGAATTTAGTATTAATTATATTACATTTTAGCTATAGGTTCCTTCCTGCTCATTTCAGCCTGTAACTACCATAGCTAACACACACACACACACACACACACACACACACACACACACCACACATACAAACACACACACACGATAGGATAAACATTTCACGTTGGCATTTCTTATTCTGTGTTTCAAGCCATAGCCAGCTTTTTAAGACCATCAAAAGCTGGCTATCGTCTTGTGCTGAGACCCTGGCCACTGGACAAAGCAGATCTGGGTTCAAATCCTGGCTCTAGCCCTTCCTAGCTTTGAGACCTTCATCAGTCTACTTACTATCTTTAGGCTCTGGCTTCCGTCATCCATGAAATGGAGACAATAACCATTCCCACACCATAGCGCTATTCAGGGAATTAAATGCAACTCGGTGTGTATAGCTCTTGGCACAGTGCCTTCACGTGGCACACCACCACAGGCAAACCTTCCCTACGGTTACCCTAAGCAAACACGACCCAGGTGTAGTCCAGGCTCCCCGACTCCCAGGAGAGAGAAGACAGCTTGCAGTCGGCCCCTGGAAGCCCTTTTTGCATCACTGCATCTTTCAGGGGCCCCCAGCGTGTGTGCACAGCTCAGGATCCCAGAGAACCCAGCACCTGTCTCACTTTTAGGTGTTGTCTCAATGGGTCTCTTTGGTCCCTCTTCCATAACTGACCGCTTCTGTCTTCTCAGAGGCCATAGGCCATGTTTGTCACCCGCTATGCTCGTCAGAGGGCTGCTGGGGCCCAGAGCCAAAGGACTGCGTATCCTGCCGAAATGTCAGCCGTGACAGGGAATGCGTGGAGAAATGCAACGTTCTAGAGGGGTAAGATGTTATTTTGTTTAATCCCTTTGTTTTGGTTAAAAAAAAAAAAAAGACAGGATTGGTGTTATAGGTTTATAGTTATTCAATTTTAATCTTTTTTTCCCCTTTTCCTTTGTTTTGGTTGGTTGGTTGGTTGGTTGGCAACTGTTAATCACAAAAGGAAATGAACAAACTCTTTTTATTACTTAATCCAATTTAATAACTTATGGAGTCTCTTGTTCTGAAAATACCTTATGTATCTAAGCGCACAAAGTTCTGAAGATAAACAGTTGTCAGTAGTCCATGTGGCCCAGACTAGGGCCATTTGGTGCTTCCTTTGCAGTACACTACTCTTAATGTTTCCAAATATATTAATACAAATTACAGTCCCTGGTTAATTTTTTCTTTATGTTCAAGAAACATTGAACAGTGGAAATCACTTTAAATATAGCCAAGGACAAAGAAATAGACAATCGTATAATGCTTGTTGAGTTCATTTGCCATCTGTAAGAATCACAGTTTGTCTATTCTATGGGAATCTTAATATTAATGTAAACTGAATGGCTACAAATAATGACTAAAAACAAATTAATAGGAAAGTAAAATTGAAAAATAGAGGTTGGCAGGGGCAATTAAAAAAAATTTTTTTTTAAGGAAAAGGGAAATTTTATGATAGGGAAGAGCCCCTGAATTACAGATGGCTCTAGGAAATCTTCCTTCCTGTTTCGCTATCAGGGCTTGGGCCACCATTTGGATCCAGAAATATTTAGGAGCATGATGAGAAGACCAACCTCAGTTCTGTAGGAAGTCTTTCTTTAGCTGATAGGCTCGTTAGCCGACTAGAGTAATTTACATAATTAAGTGCTGTTTCAACAAGTAAGGGATATTGGTGCAATTTGTACAACTGCAAATAGACACTACTCTCATGTGTTTAGTTTTCACTTCTCTTTAAAAAGACAAGGTAATTAAAGTGTCTTTCTGCTAGAGAACCCTGGTGTCTGGCAGTGCCTGCTCCCTTGGCAAGGCTGGCTCCTTCAGCAGGGCACGATAACCCCGAAAAGAAGCCTAGAGAAAGAAACTAGTGTGGCATATTTGGTTGAAGTGATGCCATTTGCCTGAAAAGGAGGACTCATGGAACACATGTGCGGGTGTCAGCATTCCTTGTTCACTGCCTGGCGCGAAGACCCGTAGAGAATTACCAGCTGGATTTCAGCCTTCTTAACAAATGTCACAACCATTTTCTTTTCAGTCACATGTCAGCTTCCTGCTTCACACTGATCTGTACATCTTTGAGGAATGGTGAAACTATTAGAAGCAACATTTTTCACACCTGTGCTCCACACTTACTGGTTTTCGTGATAACCGTTGAGCAGATGTGAACACCTCCCCTTGCCTTTCCTGTGTGTAGTAGTCGGCAGCTACCATTTCTTTTCAGCTTAACTTTAAATATCTATGAATCTGACAGTGGAGGGGGCACCTCTCAAGAGCTCTTTTCTTTTTTTTATTTGTTTGTCTTACTTGCCTAAATATGTAAAAAGTGTGCCTGTGGAAAAATGTACGGGAGATGTTTTGATTATAAATGAAGCTTATGCATCTATTCTATGAGAAGATGACCAAAGATTCAGTTAGAATCCGTTTGTTATATTACAGTATAGTCCCAGATCCTGGACTGTTGGCCTTTTACCTAAAATTGTTGTGAGTTCCTGAGAGAGGCGACTCGTGTCACCTGACATTTCCGACAGACGGACTCAGGTTGTTGTGGCCACCCAGCATCCTGAAGCCGGGTCTCCAAGTGGCACTGACCCGTTTTCTCCCTTCTCTCTCTCAGCGAGCCCAGGGAGTTTGTGGAGAATTCCGAGTGCATTCAGTGCCATCCAGAGTGCCTGCCTCAGGCCATGAACGTGACCTGCACGGGACACGTAAGCAGCACATTTGATGTTATTCGCTTGAATGTCATAGGGAAACGTCTTCGCAGGTATAAAGCCACGACGATGACCCAGTGTCACCCGGTAGCTGCGAAGGACAGCCATTCCAGCCCACTTCCCAAACGAGAGGCCCTGTGATCTCACAGCTGGGTCGGAAAGGCTGCGATTGCATTGAAGCCCTCACGCACCCCGCTGGCATGAGCTGAGCATGCCCTGTTCTGTCCCACATCCTCACACTTAATGATGGCTGCTCTCACCGCAACCCGAGGGAGCCCGCGGTGGGCTGGGGCTTTTGTCAGCCAGTGTCTGCCATTCCTGACACCTGTCACCATTGCCTTATCATTTGAATCAAACGTCATCAAATTCTTACTTAATATGAGTTTAGAGTGACTCAAAGGATTTTTAAAGAAACACCTAACAAAACTTTTCAAAATTCACTTTCATAATTACGTGTTCAATCAGTAGTAATCTTTTGGAGCATGTAAGTGAGAACTCAGCATTCCATGTTTGACAAACAGAATAAAATTTGGCATGTTCCACAGTTAATTAGGCAGGAACCACTGCACGCACACTTCCCACCTCCCCACTGGACAGACGTGGATGGGGGTTTTCTTCATTTTGCCTCCACAAGGCTTGCTTCCCAGGAGGCTCCCCTTAACCTCAAATGTGACGTGCAAGACATTCTGTCTGACCGATATGGGTATGAATAGACATAAAGGCCAATCAAGGTTGTTTTGGCCAGGCAAGATGCCCAAGTATTATATTAAGTCAAATATGATAAACCATGTAGTTTGGTTTCTTTACGTGCTTATATGTGATATGTGTTTAAAGTCAGGAAGACTTTATACTAAGCTATTAACAGTGGTCATATCAAGCAAGCACATTCACAGACAAGCTTGTTTTTGACCCTAAGAACGTCTCTATTATTCGATTTTTTTTTTCACAATAAGTATTTGAAGTAAAAAGTGGCTTCCATTTTGAAAAAGAAAGAGACATACATAAATGTGTTTCTCCACGCTGGTGCAGGGACCGGACAACTGTGTAGAGTGCGCCCACTACATCGATGGACCCCACTGTGTGAAGACCTGCCCAGCGGGGATCATGGGAGAAAACAACACGCTGGTCTGGAAGTTTTCAGATGCCAATCACGTGTGTCACCTGTGCCATCCAAACTGCACCTATGGGTGAGTGGAAGCTCGGGCCCTAGGGGGGAAGAAATGCAGAAGAACAAAATGTTTGTTTTGCTATCTTGGAAGCGCATAGATTGAAAATATCTCCAGAGTTTCCAGGCATTAAATGAAGAGGTGTGCACCTGAGTCAGATGCTTCAGGTGTCTTGGTTCCAAGGCCATGGCGGCAGCAAGAACACGCTGATAGGCAGATCCTGGTCCTGGGAGGAGTGCCTCTCGGCCTCTCATGATGTTTATCGGGCCAGGGGTCTGTTCTGCAATGCCAGCATGTTCAAACAAGAAAGTGTAAGTGACAGATGGAATGACAGCACAGGTCCTGCAAGGCCTCCAGAGGTTCCTCCATGTCTTTCCAGATGACAGGGATTCGTGTGGGAATCTTATTTTTGTCCTGCCATTCATAGAAGGTAGCATTTCCTGAAATTTTGTTTACAGACACTGTTTTCTTTAGCTAGTTGATGGCTGGCTGAGCTATTACTAAGTAAATTAAAACTATTTTGACTGCAATGAGCAGACGTGCTTTGCAATGCCTGTATCTTATTTACTGAAATGATAAATGCGATGATCAGAACGAGCAGTTGAGTGTCACATATAATATTTCACATTTCCGTGTATGTATGTCATAATCCTCAGCCTTATTTGGAACTGGTTGTTTTTTTCTTCCCTGAATCCATCTCTTACTAGCTATGTAGCCCTGGGCAGCTGTCTTCACCTCTCTGTGCCTCACTTTTCTTATCTGTAAATTAGGATAATAATACTGCATAGCTCACAGGAATTTTGGGATCTTGAGTTCATATGTTCACTATACTTGAAATAGCGACTGGCACACATGAGCCTTCAATCAGTGATGGCACTGACAGTGATGAGCGGGTGATGAGGCAGTAATAACAATGATGCAGGTGACAGAGATGGCGCTGATGCCAGTGCTGGTGGTAATGATGCATTTTATCAAATACCTCCTTGGGGGCAACTTAGGATTTTCTACTTTTTCCCTTGGGGTCCATCACCAGGGTGGTCATGGCGACCGATTTGCAAACTCTGCAAAACGTGGTGTAAAGTATGTTTTGCTAGTTTTTTAACTTAGCCTATTTGTTTCATATTCCCCCCAAATAAGCAATTTTGGAGCCAATTCTCTCAAACAGTTGTATTAGCTGTATAAAATAAATGTTGTCTCTTTCTTCCTTTTTCTATCTTTTGGAAGTAAACATGCATACCTGTTGGCGTGTCTATGCGTGTATGTCATTGGGCCTCAGCCAGGGCTGGGCCAGAAAAGGAAGTTGGAATTTTCAATAAATTTACCTTGTGTAAGAAACTGTTGACCAAAGATAAAAAGAGGGGATTTACTCAAGATTTAAATTTAAAATGTTCATAGTGATTTTCTTCTCCTTCTATAATTTCTGTCTCTTTCTCATTTTGTTTCAAATAAAATCCTGATGCTCTGCATTTGACACATACAGCTTCATCAGTATTTTATCCTTCATATATTTGATTACCTTGTTTATTCTGAGCCTCCTTGTTGGTAGAAGAACATAGAGTTGTATGTAATCTTGTTATTCTCTATCACATGATAGAAATGGATTTAATGTTTAAGATATGGCACAATGCTGACAGGGGTAAGGGAAAATAAAACATCTCTTGTGTACTTGTGAAGTGCATGACATCATCAAGTCCATTGTCTCATGGATTTCTCAGAGTGGGCCGTTGCTTTCCCCACGCGTCTTGTTAAAGGAGCACTTAAAAAGGTGCAGAAACCACAACTCATTAGCCAGCAGTGGCAGAGCCCAGATTCCGACGTGGGCGCACGCCTGCTTTAGAAGCTGTGCCCTGCCCACCATAGCAGACCTGGTTGCCCACGAGAATGGTAAGAAGAAACCTGAAGCAAATCTATTTTTAAATAGAACCATATTTTCATAGTAAGTTGTAAAGGAAGGTTCTTTGAAATTTTTATCCCGATAAATAAAACTGAATAATATGAAATGTTGCCTATTTTAATTACCTGTAACAAAAAAGAATAAGTCAAGTGGGGGGGGTAAAGAATAATTTTCTTGACAAAATTAAATTATAGCATGATACCTCTTTTACTTGATAGCCAATAACCTTTTCCACAAAAGTATGCAAGGGCATTGCAGGCTTTCCCAAGGACCTCTTCATCTGTTGACACTCCAGTCCTTCCCTCTTAGAGCACCTGCCCTGTCACCATCCTGGTCAATCATCTCTTCCAGTGGAAACTGGCCTATCTCTCCCTCTGAGCTTCCTGTTTGTCAGTTGCTTCTTGCTAGCAATCCCTGTGGTTTACCAGCAGCACTTTCAGGGACCACATAAAACCCTGCATCTTGTCCAAAATTTGCAGTTTCCATTTGTACCCATTTGGCATAGCGTCCCCACTGTATCACAGCCTAGAGACCAGCAGGCCTTATGAGGAGGAAAAACCGGCAAGCAGCAAGGGATATTTTGAGGAGGGTCAGGTTTTAGCAGCGGTCATCCACTAGTGAATGCTTTTTGTCTTTGACGATTTGGGTTTTCCTAGGAGGTAATAGATTGTGAAATAACGAGACCTGTTTGTGTATCCCACTGCCTGAAAAAGCCTGTGTGTCTGGCGTGGGAATGAAGGCCCATAATGCACTGCAGGGGCGAAATTGCAGAATCTGACTCCATGGAAAAGAGGAAAAGAGCCAAGACCCTCAGAACCAAGATGAGTGGAGTGTAGAGATCAGAGCCCTTTGAATGCGATAGAAAATGTTTCGGGTCAGATGACGTGTCAAACAAGCGCCCCTAGTCCTCTTCACTGCACAGCATTACCAAATGTACTGCTGCTGAAATGCACTGTTTATTCTGTGCCCAGGCCATGAAATGTTGGTCTTTTCCATGTAACTGGAGTACTTTGTTTTTCTGTTGACAGTTGCATTGGCAAATGTTGCCCAGGTGCTCAGGAGTCGCATTAACACAAATGCTGTCTCTGTTCATGCGACAGTTCAGTAACTCTCCCAAGAAAACAATGCTAAAGGAGAGAATGACCCTAATGTGTATTTCTCTTTTCATTCCTACAGCTGCTCTGGGCCAGGCCTTGAAGGCTGCCCCGTGATTCCGTAAGTGTTACCATTTGTGTCTGAGGGACCCTATCGGGAAAGACCCCGGTATTTCTAATTGCCCTTCGCCTTGTCAGGTCCTTCCTTCTCCTCTGGGCCAGCATGGGGAAGAGCGTCCCTAGGAGACACCACCTGCTGGTCCTCCCGGCCCCCACCTGCTCTGCAGTGAGGAGGCGGATTGATGCGCCCTCTGGAGCTCATGCCCAGTGCCCGGCACGCCCGTGTAGCCCACGTCTGACTTTTGGTTACACCAGTTGCGCTGGCTCTTTCTCCCCTTTCGGCTTCTTTCTCTTCCCTCACTGACCCAGTTGGCCCTGCCGCGAACCTGGATGGAATGACCTTTCTGGTCAGTGACAAAGCTCCAGCTTGGGTTGCAGGGGGGGTGGAGTTTCTCCCCTTACATCCTTTTTGAAACACAACTTCCTTCAGCATTTCCATTCTCATCAATTTGCCATCATTGCTTGAGATGCTGCACTGAGACAACCAGAAATGGGGGTTCCTGATCGGACTTATCAGGGAAGTGTGGTTATTACCAACTAGTAATGACTAGAGTGGAATCTGAATTATACACAAGACACCTGTTTGCCGTCCTGACATCCCCAGACACTAGCCAAACTGCCAGGCACTGCTGCCATTTCTAGTCATGTCCACAGAATCCCTTCCCTCTGAAGCCCTCCCTCGATGTCAGCTGACCCCTCTGCCCCAGAATTAGCCACAATAACAGACCCCTCCGATTATCAGGGAAACGTAAAGACAAAAAAAGGCAGTTTCTCAGAGGTAAAGATTTCCTTCCATCCCGACCTCTTCACTGCGCCTAAGAGGACGCCAGCAAACTCTTCCCTACTGTTCATACAACAGTCGGTATCTGAATGGTGACGTTTTCCATCACTTCCCCACCTTGGGACCAGTCAGTGGCCTTTGTTGCTGTTGTTATTATATTTACTCTTTTATTTTTTTCATTCACTTTTCCTTCTGTCACCCTTACTGTGGCTCCCCATGAAACACATACTCTGTTACAAATTATTCCTTCTATATTTCAGTGTTCCCCTCAAAATAGTAAAAATCCATTAATTGCAACTGCATTCTTGGTGAGACAGTATAATACAGGAGATGACTTTTGTACTCGCTAAGAAGAAAGTGTTGCAAATGTTGCTTTCATGAAGTACATTTGACCCACTTATGAGAAATTTGTAAGGACGATGGCCTAGTTTTCACATGCAAATGATGCTACTAATTAATTTTTGGTATTTGGTAACGTTTCCACCTGAAAAGATGAAGTTTGCTAGAAGCTCAAATGGCATAGATATTTAAAAATAATAATTTTATAAAGATTCTCCATTCAGAAGCTACAAATTCAGATGGTTCTTTCCCCAATGAAATTTAGAACCTGAGTTTTGAGGTTTTGCTCTCCCTGAAATCAGGGGTGCATGCTTGAGGTTTGAGGCTGCATAATGACATCTCCCTTATCTATGACAGTGATGCTTTCTCTGCAAAATCCTGTCACTTTACAACCTCCTCTGAGCTCATTCATAAAGCATTTCAGGTGGCTGTGGTCCCAACTTGAAAGCCAAGGACCCTCCAAAGAGTCTCAACATTAGTGAAAGGGCCCCTTCACCCAGCTTGACCAGTAGACAATATATGTCTCGTGTGTGGAGTGCTGTGCTTCTGATGTACAGAGATACATACAAAGTCATGTGAAGAGCATTACTGAAGTCTGAGTTACTTTTTGAAGTATTTTCTGGATCAACAGATGAAAGTATAACTATTTACGGAGCGGTCCAGACAGTAGCTCAGTTTTAAAAATGCCAAGAAGCCAGGTGGCGGTGGGGTGGGGACAGGAGTTGGAAACCCTGCCCTACTGCTCTGGGGCAGCTTTCTTTTCTCCCTTTAGAAGCTGCACAGTAACTCCACTTTCTGAGAGAGTTTTCAAATGATATCAGTGTATTGACAGGGCAGGGAAATGCCGATGTCATGAAACCTGTCAGCAAACCTGACCCTTCCTATGTGCCTTCACCTCGTTCCAGGCCCAAGATCCCATCCATCGCCACTGGGATTGTGGGCGGCCTCTTACTGGTGGTGGTGGTGGCACTCGGGGTTGGCCTCTTTCTGCGCAGGCGCCACATCGTCCGGAAACGCACGCTGCGCCGACTGCTGCAGGAAAGAGAGGTGAGTAGGCCCCCAGGCCTCGCGTGCCCCACCAGCACCCCTTTCGGAACCCTCGCTAGCCTAGGTAGGAAGATGCACTCTCCTGTGCAGGCTCAGGTAGAGCGAGTGGGCAAGCCCTCCGGGGTCCTTGCTTCGTGCCACTGGCCTCTGCCTGCCGCCCACGGATGAAAACTCTTGCTGTTGTCCCAGGGCGGAGCCGGGGGGAGTGGAGATGAAGACGCTCAGCAGTAGCTTAGGGAACAGAGTGAAAGGAAGAGGAAAGTGACTGCCTTTATTGACTGAAAATCTAGAGAGTTCAGTTCACCTTACAGCCAAGAAGGACCAAGTGCTACTCCCCACTCTTACATCTAACCCACGGGATGTGTAGAAAGCAGAGCCAACCTGGACCTTTATTTAAATGTGTTTGGATACAGTGAACTTGAGGTCCACACATTCGAAATGTGTTTTAAATACATGATTGTGTCATGATGCTTTATTTCTTGCGATGGAAAAACCAGGAGGAATCTCTGAATATCTAGTTATAAGCAATTAGTTCCATTTTGATACAACTATCCAGTGAAATGCAAATGTTTGTAGGCTAAGTCACACAACGTGGTCCCAGAGCTATATGTGGAGTCCTGTATGCACAGGAGAAAGCCTTGTGAGCAGATGTATCTGTTGAGTTCCTGGGAAGGTGCTGTGGTTGAGAAGATGCTACTTTGGAAAATGCCATTGTCCACACCAGTGGCTGTGCCTCTCCGAGCTCTGCTTCTGATTGGTGTCATCCCTGACACTGATTCGCTTGAGTGGGTCCTCACTTGGTGTCTCTGTGCCCGGTACTGTGTCAGAAGCCAGAGTCCCTGGGAGGAGAGGCCCACAGCAGCTTGCAGCATAATGGCGCTTGTGTGTTAGGGGACCTGGCAGGCTACCAAAATGACCATAGTCTAACAGTCTTCTCAGTTCAGCTGGGAATCAGAAATAGAAATGGCACGTGTTGAATCAGAGCTGCTCTGTTCCAGGACACCTGTATCAGGGTGTTCCTCTCTTTTATGAAGCTCTTCAGAGAAGGGGTCCACTTCTCCTTCTGAGTGAGCATGGCAAGTTCTCTGTGCTCAAGCACCACCTCACGTGGCTGTGTCTGGGCCCACCTGACACGCACTGCCCCGTGGGTGTGAGCACGGAGGCTGAGCGAGCATCCCTCTCCCTCCTTGTCTCCACAGCTGGTTGAGCCCCTCACACCCAGCGGAGAAGCTCCCAACCAAGCTCTCCTGAGGATCCTAAAGGAAACGGAATTCAAAAAGATCAAGGTGCTAGGCTCTGGAGCGTTCGGCACAGTGTACAAGGTGAGACCACCGGCGACGTGGCACAGATGCTTCCGGGGACTCTGGTTGGCGGCCCCTTAGGTCTGGGTGAGCGAACCCTGAGTCCTCAGCTGCTGGCTGCTGGCTGCCTGTCGTCGGCGGCTCTTTGTGTTGCTGAGGCTTTGGGAAATCTTTTATAATCACAGTGACAAATCAGTGGTCCTGTGAGACTGGCACACAGGTAGAAACAGCTTTTATGGAAGATGGCATTGACCTTTTAGAGGGCTGGGTGGCACAGATAGAGTCTGGGCAGTTGCGTGACAGCATCCAAATAGAGCCCAGGTCAAAACAGCTTCTTCTTAAGTTGTTTTTTCCTAGATAACTCTTTGTGTAAAGTCTGATTCAGGTAGGCCTAGACCCAGGGTCTTAGAATTCTGTGTGAAATGACCCACGCTGGCATGAGCTTAGGGTTTTTGTTTTGTTTTGTTTTTTTCTTAATCTAACTACTCTGATCCATGGAATATGACAGCTGAAGACCTGCTGAGACATCACGACTCCCAGCACCCATGGCCATGGCCTTGGAGTGCAGAGCTGTGCTCCTTGTCCCTTGCCTTTCTGCATGGTGTCCCTAATCAAGTCCATCCAGCTCACAAGTTGCGTGTTGCTTGGTGTGATGACTGCCAGTTAATGTCTTCCCTCTCTCTTGGTCACAGGGACTCTGGATCCCAGAGGGTGAGAAGGTTAAAATCCCTGTGGCCATCAAGGAGTTAAGAGAATCCACGTCTCCGAAAGCCAACAAGGAGATTCTCGATGTGAGTTTCTGCTTCATGCTCTCGTCGTCCACAGGCCTGGGTATCAGAGGTCATCTGGTCTCGTGGCTGCCGCACGTTGCTCGGTTTTAGACGTTTTTCATCGTCGCATTCTAAATGGTCACTTTCCGTGCCTTTTCTCCTTCTAGCTCTAGTTGGTATAAGTCCCTCTCAGGCCTTCTCTTACAGAGAAGACTCACCTCTTCTGTTCTGTTATCTCCCCTACAAGGATGGAAACTGACAATTGCTAGGCAATTACCGGTTCTGGTACCAGCTGCTTTACACACACGATCACAGCTGGTGACCCTCTAGTGTAGGTATTCTGCTCCTTACTTTTTCATTGAAGAGATGGAGGTATAAAGAAACTTGCTCAGGCTGGGGTAGGATTCCAGCCCATTGCCACTTCCGACTCTGAAACTTGTGTTCAATTTGCTCCACCAAGTTATCTGATCTTCAGAATGACTTCTTAAGGTGTGTAGAATTAACAATATGGTGCTCTACAAGCTCTATAAATGGGCCCGTCTTCTTTTCTTTCTCCCAAGAACAATTTCAGCATTCTTCTCCAGGGTCTGCCGACTGCTACTTGATGAAAGAAGTCTTGGAATGTTCCACAGATTATTGTTATGTTTTCACTTTCGAGTCTACTGAACTTTCTCCACCTTCCCTGGACCCTGACTAGTCAAAGAGGGGGCTGCACTCTCTTAGAAAGAGGCAGCTGCAAGGGGGCCATCCTGGAGTCTGGTGGAGCCCACTTCACATAGGCGCTCAGGTAGAGCGAGTGGGCAAGCCCTCCGGGGTCCTTGCCTCATGCCACTGGCCTCTGCCTGCTGCCCACGGATGGAAACTCTTGCTGTTGTCCCAGGGCGGAGCCAGGGGGAGTGGAGATGAAGACGCTCAGCAGTAGCTTAGGGAACAGAGTGAAAGGAAGAGGAAAGTGACTGCCTTTATTGACTGAAAATCTAGAGAGTTCAGTTCACCTTACAGCCAAGAAGGACCAAGTGCTACTCCCCACTCTTACATCTAACCCACGGAATGTATAGAAAACAGAGCCAACCTGGACCTTTATTTAAATGTGTTTGGATACAGTGAACTTGAGGTCCACTTCAGGCTCTCCGGGCAACCTTCCCTCCCAGCAAGGAAAACCCCCCCACTTGGGTGCACTTCTAAATGAGACGTGACGTATGAATACAGTGCAATAGAAAGTCTCCCGCATTGATGATATACTTATCAAACAAAATTAACTTTCACTTTAATGGCTTGCAAATGAAGGTGAAGTCCTATTAATATAATGTCAGCTCCTATTAACGTAACCACACGAAACAGAGTGGATGAGGCATGGGCGAAGCCCCCTCCCTGACAACACTAGCTCTTCGCTTCCACTGTGAGAAAGAAAACCTCTCTGCGGCATTTGTTAACTCATTTTCTAGTCACTCAGGACATTCTAATAAATTTCACAAAATGACCTTGAAGTGTGAATTTCAACAATACTGACAATGCAGAATAAGGGCAATTTTGAAGACATAGCTATGCTTTGGGAAGGCGGTAGTTTTCCCTGAAAAGACCCCAACAATTGGAGGGAATCTGCTTTCGTGAGGTAGACTAGAACCTAGAGAAAGTGCAGGCCCCGTAGGGCTGAGTACCTTCTTTCATATGCTCACGGGCACTTGGAAATGCCTATCCCCACCCACCCAGGTCAGGCACTGAGACCCAGCACTGGCTTAAGGTGCTGTCGATGGTTTAGTAAACCTGGTAAAATTTCAAAAACGTAGGCACCTACTCTTTATTCTTAAGGTTAGATATATGCCCCTGCTGAAGGAGTTTAAAACCTAGGGGAATCTTTTTTCCCCAAATTCTTAAAATAGCTCATAGATGAGGAAGACAAGGAAGAAGGAAGGAACCTAAACTCATTTCGGCAATGGGGACAAAATAATAAACTTTCAAGGTCACCAAGCCTCAGAGATACTCCCTACCATGTGACTCTGTGCGCCAGGCTGGGGTGGCTAATTCAGAGGTTGTTGTGGAGTGCTAAGCATGCTTGCTGTGGGTCACAGTGCACCTTTGCGAGTCCAAGATAAACAGCTGAGAACAAAAGCTGACTTTAACTTCTACGCACACTGAACGGGACACATGACCAGACAGCGTCCCCATTGTGCCTAGGGGGTGGGGCGGAAGTGATGACCTAGTTCTGTTGCGCTATCAGATTTTAATAGGCTCGGGGACCTGGCAGGGCTCCAGCCTCTGTGTGGCCTGACACCCACACCCGTGCTCTGCTCCCCGATTCCCGGGTCCAGGTCAGCTCCTCGCTGGCCTCACAACAGATGGGCTGCACAAACTGCTCCGGTTTGCAGATTTTTCTCCCCTCTAAAATAAATACAATCTGTTTCCAAATCTCCACCAGATCTTGAGAAAGAAGGAACAGCCAGAGGCTTGCTTCGGTGTTATGGTTGTACGGCTTCCCAGACTCGGGGGAGAGACGTGATTTGTGCTTTTTCTGGCAATCCCATGGCCTATTAATTTTTCCATGGACGTTCCAGTTTAAATTTAGGGCAGGCAATGGAAAGAGAATATAAAACAGATTTATATACGTGCTGTGTGTGTGCCATAACGTCTAGAGTTTTCTGGTAGACCTTTAGCCAGAGCACTCAACAGGAGACCCGCCTGGGGGCCCGGCTCTGTCATGAGGAAATGCGGCCACGGGTCGGCCACTCTCTTTGCTGGGCCTCGATTTCCTCTCTAGACAAATAATGGCCTCAGAAAAAATGCCCTCACAGGCTCTTTCCAGTTCTAAGTTTTTATAATCAGCCCTTCTCAAAGACCAAGGATGTTTGAGTGCCCATAAGGATTAAACGTCTACGCTTTAGTGTTGCGATCCTATGTTCACAGTAGAAAAGGAAAGCAATGCAGACTCGGCTTGGGAGTGGAGCGCCTGACCACTCAGGAAAGCATCCGTGCAGAAGCTCTGCAGCCAGGGTGAAAAGCTGGAGGATTTTTGTTGTTGTTGTTAGCGGAAGTGGCATGGTCTCCGATTTGCTTTGAATTTGTGGCTTTGCATGATTTCAGTGTAGTTCAGCCCTGACCATTTTTGAGGCCGCTATGTGCCGACGTAGATTGCAGGCACCGCTGGAATGGAAAGAAAGACCCAGGCCCTCCCGCCAAAGTGCTGACCACACTCGCTGCTGCGGCAGCGTTTGTCTGTCGCTGCCCTGCAGTGCTTACGCGCAGCTGGGCGTGTGCTGGGATCTGAGACAAAGTCCTTTCCTCAAAGAGCTGGGTGGAGACGGACGTTTTTCAAATCATACAAATATTTAAGTGCAGGTTACTGTCTTCAAACAGATCGCAGGCCCGCCTCCCAGTATCTCACACAGTGGGCCTGGGTGTGGCCCAAGGAGCTGCATGTCTCAAAGTTCCCAGGAGGTGCTGAGCCTGCTCCTCCAAGAAAAAGTAGCAAGATGCCAGGAGAGTTTAACTCAGATTGGTGGGTTAGGGGAGGCTCCCCTGAAGAGGGGTCAGCTAGGGAAAACGGGGGTAGAAGGGCATTCCAGACAACAGCCCTTCCGTGGGCGTGAGCGTGGGCATGGGCAGGGGAGGGCCTGATGGCCAGGCCTCCAGGCTTCCCAGGAACTGTGAGGCCAGGGGAAAGGCTCAGGCCAGGAGAGCGGCGTGATCATGTCTGTGTTCAGGAATGTGTGTGGGTCTCCCCCACCTCTGTCCTGGGCTCCCACCCCCCATCCCAGAGCGTCCCCTGCTGGTGCCTTCCCTTCTGCAAAGACAGGCCAGCTTGCCCCTCCAGCCCACTGGAGCAGCTGAGATGTAAAAAAGGAGCCTCTGGCCTTTCTCTTGCAGACCCTGTGGCCCCTTTCCTATCCGAATAAAAAGTCACCGCCCTTTGTCTTTTAAAGGGAAAGAGAAAGAATTTATGGGTGGAAATGAAGGGTGCCCTACTGCTCCGCCAGACAGAAGAGAGGGCCTCGTTGTGTGCACGATCGTAAATAATCAGCTTCCTCTGCCCAGAAACAGCAGAAGGGTTAAAAGAAAGCGTATATTCACGGATCTGTGTCAAACAAAGGCTTCTGCCTTGGCAGCCAGCCGAGTTGGTGGGGGCGGTGCGTTTGGCAGAGCCGCATGGTTTTCGAATCCCCAGACTGAGTGAGGCGGCAGCAACACAGACCTCCTCTCGTGCAGATGCACCCTGAGCAGCCCACTGAGTCTGCTGTCACTGTCCGTTCAGCGCTCTCTGTCCATTTCGAAGCCTGAAGTAGCTACACTGAAAGGGCATCTCTAGCTCCACTTCGCAGAGCTGGTCCCGGGACCAAGCAGTGCCCATGGCACAGTCAGGAGCGCACACTGCTCTGCTGAGACATGAGGCCTCCCTGGGCTGCCCGTTGGCTTGGTGGCCTGAAGTTCCCACGGTCACATCTCTGTGGTGCCTATAGCGGGGGTTCCGGATTCAGTGGGCGAGTCCTTATCCAGAGTGTGGGGACCCTGGCGACATTTGAAACTAGTATCTTTAGCCTTGAGGCAGAGGTCTTCCTGACGAAGACATCAGTAATGCCCCAGCTTGGAGACATCTGGTCTCTTTCTCAACCAACGTGTGCCAGTGGCGGATGCTGCCTGGGGCTCCCAGCGCGCGGGGACTCCCTTGCGTGCACCCAGGAAAGTGCCGGCTTCGCAAAGGCCTGGTCATTCCACAGCCTGATATGCAAAAGGCCCTGCGGGAACGGCCACGGCACTAGAAGTCACGTGGGTTGGCTTGTCCTCCACAGGTACACGTTTCAAAACTCAAAATCACGTTCGCACTTTTTTACCTGGAAAAGGTCCTGTCTGCCTCTCCCTCTAGCCACCGTGGAGAGCCTTCTGACGCCTTCCTGTCTCTCCTCCACGCAGGAAGCCTACGTGATGGCCAGCGTGGACAACCCTCACGTGTGCCGCCTGCTGGGCATCTGCCTCACTTCCACGGTCCAGCTCATCACACAGCTCATGCCCTTCGGCTGCCTCCTGGACTATGTCCGCGAGCACAAGGACAACATCGGCTCCCAGTACCTGCTCAACTGGTGTGTGCAGATCGCCAAGGTAAGTGGACGGGGAGTCCAGCCCGCGGGGCGGCACAGAGCAGGGGGCCGGCCCGGGGTGTTCCACCAAACGCGGAGCAGCTGCCCCTGCCCCTCACCCCCCAGGATGGTCATCGGTGGGCACCCACTTCCTTCTGGAAGAAATCACATTGATTGTGCTTCGCATCGAAGCAGTGCCCGTCCCACTGCACACTGAAAGTCTAATTCTTTGGCTGCCTTTGAACAGCTTTCTCTTTGTTGGATGCTCAGCATGGTTTGATGTGAGTGTTCTTATTTTTGGTGCTCTTTCCGTTGAATACTGTGGTGATTTGTGGTACAGTCACCCAGGTACTTGATAACAAGGCAAGCACACCAGGCTGAGCCTGGAAGGACACACGGGTCAGTGTGGCTGTGTGGACGGAGCTGGGCTGAAGGCCTGGTTGCTGCTTAGAGGAGGACTGAAAGACGCTTGTGCCGCATCACTGGGGCTTGACCCAGAGCGAGATAGGAGCTGACAGCCCAGACAGTGGCCAGGTGGCCCCACCTGTGCGCTGAGGACAGGAACCGAACAACAAAGTGGGTATTTAGCTGCTCAGGTGGCCTCAGGGCTTTTACCTTCATCTGAAACATTCTTCTTGATCCCAGCTGTGCCTCAGTTATTTGCAACTGAACTCGCTAAATTCTATGTCCTTCTGACCGTGGACGCACATTTTACTCAGCTGAACACAAGGAATTTGTGGGCGGGCCCCTCATGAGCCTACATCAATCATTACCTCCTGTCAGCCTCAGACCACGGGGCGGGGTGTGGAGGGGTGTGCCAGGGAGCAAACCATCCACCTGACTTCATCCAGTTCCTCATTTCTCACATCACCCTGGTCCAGAGTGGCAGTCAGTTCTGCACACTCACTCCTGCAGGTGCCTTCAACTTGCTCACTCAACTTCCAGCAGACGTGCAAGGCGACTTACTCGTGCATGAGAAACAGAAGCGTATTTTGGGCATTGCTCTGTCGGTAGCTGCCCATGATGCCACAAGATGGACTGTTTCTAGGAGCTGTGACCTGGGTGAGGCAGGCTCCCCTCCTGACACTGAGGTTCTGGGTCAGGTTGGCTAAGCAGTGGAAGGCCCCCCTGGAGAACCAGCCAGGGCACGTGGCCATTCCGTCTGGTGTTCGCATCTCAGCTGCAGCCTCTGGGGGCTCCCAGCACCCCGGGAAGTGGAGAATGCTCCTTCACTGACCACCACAGTCACTTGGTGTCCTTGTCACACTCATGACCCTGCTCTTAGTCACAGAGCACAGAAGTTACATCGTCGTTATTAGATAAGGGTCTCGGAAGGGGGAGTGTGTATCTCAGAGGCTGTGGCTTCGTGAAAATGCTTGTTATTTCTGTGTGCGACTGTGTTCTTTTCCCACGACTGCCACAGCAAATGACCACAGGTGTGCTGCTTACCACAGCAGAACCTTCTGTCCAAGTAAGGGCATGTTCTCAAGTTCCGGGTAGACGTGACATTTTGCAGGGTGGGGGGCGGGGGACTATTCCACCCACAACAGTGGCTCATCTATGGGAAGAGATAGTTAGCCCCGAGTAGGTTTGACTGAATCTAGAATTATTCCTGAAGGTCTACTCAGGTCCCAACTCCCGAACCCAGAAATTCTGCCTTAGCTTTCGTCCCTGGTCATCTAAGGCAGCAAACCAAGTGCCACGTGCTCCCTCCCAGACAGTACCTGTTACCTCGCTTTATTTTCTCTAGCTCAGGTTGCTGCCTAGGGAGATCTGGCGTACTTGTTTACTTGACTTGTGCCCACCCACCCTGTCTGGAAGGCAGGCGAGTCCTCTGAGTAGTGCCTGGGCAGCACCCCACCGGGCAGGGCTTCCCGCAGCCAGCCCCTCCTGCCTGCTTCCTAAGGCCCACCCCTCGTATAGTTAGCATTTTTTCTGTAATTATCTCGTGCGGATTCACAGCTCCACCGAAGTGACCAGTCATGTGATGCGTCACAAAGCCTTGGCAAGTTTTGCCCAGTGCAGAACTGGGCTTATGACCCCAGTCGGTGGGCTACACATTCACACCTGGATTCTGGCAACTGTTAGCACGTGACCTCAGGCAAGTGGCTTAGTCTGTTTGTGCCTCGTCTCTTTGGCTGTAGATGGGATTCTGCCCTCTGTCTTCCCCGACGTGGGGACACCAGTCAGCCTCTGAGAAGCGCCTGCCGCCCACCAGTCCCGGCACACATCTGGTGCCACCCGTGTTCCCTTCTCTGTTTTTTTCCCCAGATTTTGGCTCACTTGTGCTGGAGTAATGACAAAACTTAACCTGAACCATTGTTTGAATCTAGTTCTGTATCAACTCAAAGCAGCGTCTCCTGTTCACAGGACTTCTCTCCTTCTTGAGCGTTTTTTTCCCTCTCCCCTTTGCAATCTTACCATCGAATCTGCCTGACAACAAGCGCCTGCACAAACGGAAGTTTATTTGACCCCCCGCCCCCAAAATCAGCCTTCTACAAGCGTGATGAAGAAATCACAAAAACTTGAAATTGATCGGCACCCACATCGGCTTCACCTGGGCCCTGTTCACAGAGGACTCACGGTCCACAGTTCCTGTGTGGAGTTTCCCGGGCCTGGACGTTTTCCAGGATAGGCCTCCATACAATTGTACTCACAATTTCAACCTCTTATTTAAATCCCCTGCTCTGCCTCTTGTACTTGGTTTAGCTTCACTTTAAGTTGAAGTTCTTTCTCACGGTGGCTATTAGCTCTTTGTCTGACAAATTTGCTTCCTGGTGCACAAGAGACACCTTATTCTACTGTGTTTCAATAGCTGTGGTTCCTGGAGGGAAACGAAAATAATGGCTTCCTCAGTTGCAAAGAGAGAAGTTTGCTTTGGGTTTAGTGACTATTTATCCAAGTATTAAACAATTTTCTTTGTAAAAGTTTGAAGTGAAACTACCCAGAAACACTTAGTGGCTGACCAGAAACTAAACTCCTAGCATTTTCGAAGTGGGATTTATTGACTTCTAAATGTCCTGTGTTGATTCACAAGGCATGGGCTATCTTGGGAAGTTTTCTAAATATTGAGGGAAAGCTGGCCACTGTCATGCAAGTTTATTGTCTGGGCAAAACTGCTAAGAGGGCAAATAAATTCTATCACCCAGGCAAGAGGAAAAAGAAAAAAATGGAAGTGGCTGAGGGAGGAAATGGGGATGGGATTGAGAGAGCCAGAAGGAAGCCACACCCCCTTGCCATAAATGGTGAAAATGGGTTCTATTTTCCATATAAAAAACTTGAACTCAGGACCTTATGGAGACATCCCCTGCCTACCAATCAGAAAGACCATAGTTTCCTAAACCCCTGGCTCATGAGGTGAAGGGTGATAGTCACTTACCGGGAGTAACTTAGTTGCTTCAGAAAGCATATCCATTCTTTCTGGCTGTGTAAACCAGCTGGTAAATCCCCAAATATATTACAAGGCACAGTAATGTTATAAAGTATTCTAATCCCAGATCCTATCATCACTTCAGCTTGGAAACCAGTTACTGTGCCACACTCTTCCTCTTAGCACATCACCATGGAGATTGTCGCGAAGTCCTACAATAAATAAAGCCATCTAGACCGTTCCCAGCCCTTTTGAACAACAGAGTGTTCTTATCACCTAACCCAGAGTAAGATCTCACAAAATTGACTTTTCAGACAAATGATACAAGTTTAAGATCCTTGAGAGCAGCCCCTGGTGAGATTTGAAGATAGCTGGCAGGGGAGGGAAGAAATTTCTGTATGGGTATCATTCTCCCACCACTAGTTTAAAAGCACCACACTATGCATATAGTTCAATCTATGAGATAAAACTTAGTAAAGATAAACTTCAAAAAAATTCTTAGTTCAAAGGGTTCAGTTTTAAGTACATTTTACTGTGGGAAAAAGGAGGCATGCGTTTTTAAGTAACTTGCCAAGGTCTCAAGCTAGTAAGTAGCAACATCGGGACTTGACCCCAGGCTGCCTTGCCCAAGTCCACACTCGTTACCAGCACTTGCGTCATGGCTCCGGGTCGGACCCGCAGGGCAGTGAGCCCAGCTGTGCTCCCGCCTCACAGGGTAGGCTGTTAGTGCCACACGATCTCCGTCTGGAAGAGTATTTCTGACCCTTTTCTGCCTCTGCTTAGGGCAGGGCTCAGTGGTGGGGAAGCCATACTTGGACTTCACTTCGCCAGCATTCTGCCATCTGCCAGCCTCCCCCCTTCCTACTTTCTGCCCTTTCCATATTCACCATATCAGCGCGTGCCTGGACCTTTCCACGAGGGAGTTTACGAAATAGAGCAGAGGGGATCTCATCTCAGCCTCTTGCTCTGGACCCTCCCAGGAGAGGTACAGTGAGGCAGCCACAGGGAAGACAGTCTGTCAGGGGCAAAGCCAGCCACCCCCAGTCCTTCCTCATTCCACTGACGTGCCAGAAAAGCCTTTAAGATGACGTGAAACACGTCCCCGTGCTTTCCTACTATGTGGTGTGAAGCATGTCCCCATGCTCTCCTACTGTGCGCTGAGGCTTTAGGTTGGCTCTGCAAATTCCCCTTAACCTCAGTACTTCAGAATTGGTCCTAAGTGCCCTGTAGTAATGAACAAAAGTAAATACGTTGAACTAAATTAAAGTGGGGAGATGAACCAGGAAATGAGTTTCCCAAAAGGCCCCCCCCCCCCAGGCTCTGCTGATAGTGCTTCCCGCAGTGTCTCTGTTTAGACTCTGGGAGGTCATGAGCAATATCACGGCTCTTATCTTTGGTGACTGGTTAAAATATAACTCTGCCGGGCACCGAGATAGCCTTTCAAACTGCCTCTGGGGTGTGGGACAGAGACCCATAAATGGAGCTTTATCTAAGTTCAAATGAGCCTAATCTCCTCATCCCAACGATCCCGTTTAAGCCCCTCTGGCCGATTAACTGTGCACTCCAGCCTGTGCGAGCTGCCCTTTCCTCTCCTTTCCCAAGCTCCTCCGAAGGCTGGTGTTCTGAGAAAACATCCCAGTTCATTCCAGTTACTCTGGTCCGGTAATGACCAGAGAGGTGGGGGGCGTGGGGGTGGGGCGCCGTTCCTTTTATTAGATTTACACCAAGACGCAGACTTGACTCAGAGGCACAGGACCAAGAGCTGGATGTTAGTTTTTTGTCTTGTTTCTTTACATCCCAAGCAGCCTTTGGGCCAGCAGGCGAGTGGCACTTGGAGGCCCCAGCAGGAAACTCAGGACTCGGTCAGGATGGTGGTCTTGGGGACTCAGAGGACTTGGTCTGTGACGCAGCATCCCAGCCCCTGGGCTCCCTGGGTGGGTTTTCAGGGTGATCATGAGGCTGCTGGGACTGTCAGCACCTTCTGGAAGAGGCTTCTACACAGATGTGTTTGAAATGCCTGGCACATCATCAGGGTTCAGAACTGTAGCTGCCATTATCATTCATTCTTCATTTATTCATTCATTCATCCTTCAACAGGCTTTTATAAAAATGTGTCCAGTGTATCGGATCCTCTGTTCGGCCTTTAAAGACATAGAATGAGCATGAGCGATGATAGTTAAATAGAGCTGAAAATGCCCTCTGAAGTCCTCTTTGTGCATTTAATGAACTCACAAAAGACATGAATTTTAAATAAAGGGAGAGGGACAAGGAAAGGGTGACTGTTTCCTGTGTGTAGGGACTTATATGTGATTATTACTATATGTATGTACAACACCTACACAATACCTACCTCAGAAGATGATTTCAGGGAGTGTGATGGAGCAATGAATGAAAGAGATAGAGGGTGGAAGGGAAGAGAGAAAGCAGGGGTGAAGGTGAGAGAGAAGCACTGAAGTAGCACAGAGCCTGGAATACAGACGTTGGTCTAACCAGACAAGAAGCCAAGCATAATTCACCCTTTTTGAGTGGGTAAGAGCACATCATATTTAATAAATAGAAGCCTTACTCTTTTATAAGAGACGGGGGACCCAGCACAGAGCATAGTCTCAGGGTCCCAGGAATCAAATGGGAGACTGAATCTGATGAAAGGAGTCCCCCTGTGCAAGAGGGGACGGAGTAGCAGGTTTGTCCTGTTTGGAAGCATGTTCTCAGCTTGTCTTTCCCTCTACCTCTCCACACGTCATCTGTACATTACGATTCCTAATTTAAGAGTGCTGTTCCAGAGAAGAACCTGCTAACTTCCTCCTCAGTAGACGTGAGCCCCGTTAACCTCCCCCCCGACCCCCAGCACCTGAGAAGTCTTAGACAGGGAACCATGTAGATCAAACAGCATCATCAGCATTTATTCAGGCGCTTTCTAGGTAATACGAGGGAGAAGGGAGGAGACCTGGGAAACCATCTTTTTTTTTTTTTCCTCCAAGAAAAGACAAAACACTAAAGGCCTCAAAAGTAGCCAGCAAAGACTAATTCCTGGTACCATTTTCATAAGATTCTACTTTTCCTATGATGGCTAGTTTTGCTCTAGAAAGAAAAAAAAATGTAATGATACCTTGATGTGACAAGCTAATAATTTTCACCTAATATCTATGCAAAAGGAAGCAAAGAATTTGCCAGAAAATTTGGGGAGGGAAGGATTTTATCCCTGTCATTGCATTAAAATGGAGATCCCCTCCACAGCTGCAAGCAAGCTAAAAAGTAAAACAGAGTTGGCTAAACCCATTTGTTTGCATTTCATGCACTTCAGGAAGCATTCTTGCGGTGCCCACTCTTAGCTGGAGAGTTCATGAGTGTCTAAAGCAAGTTGGGAATGCGCCCCCTCCTGGCTGGAGAGAGGAGAGGTGCATTTGTGGGTAGGTGGGAGAGAATCCAAACAACCTCGGCAGAGCGGGACCTCCCCACAGCACCTCTGCCCTAGCAGCACCACCCTGCACAGAGGGGAGGGCTGCCCACTCATGTCAGCAGGTTGCAGCTTGGTCGGTATAAGGGAGCTTGGCTCAGCTAGGTCAGGAGTGACCCTGCCTGCCAGCAGGGAGGCAGTGCGTGTGACAAAGACGCCGAGAAGGCCGTGGGCAAGGGCTGGGGCTCAGGGGTAGGATTTCTAGCAATGAATTATGTGTTGGGCACTGTGTTGGGTGCTTCTCAGCTACCCTCCCTCCCTTCCTTCCTTCCTTCCTTCCTTCCTTCCTTCCTTCCTTCCTTCCTCCCTTCCTTCCTTCCCTCCTTCCTGCCTTCCCCTTCCTTTCCCTTCCCTTCCCTCACAGCAGCAGTTCTGACTACAACAGAATTATGGAGGCTACCAGGGAGGAGAGGGGAAGGGCGCTTTGAAGCAAAAGCAATAGCCACGTCATTTCAGTTTTAAAGAGAGAGAGAATAACACCGGGCACAGCTCTGACTCGGTGGTGAGCCGTGTGAGGTAGCGCGGGCCACGCTGGGGAGCGGGTGCCGCCCCTGATGGAGAGCACACAGCTGGCTGAGCGCAGGGAAGGTGAGGAGTCTCGGCTCAGCTGATGGGGGAGCACGTGTCCTCTGCTTTGTGGTCCATCTGGGTTTGAAACTCGAGTAACTGAGTTGGTCCGCAGGCTGTGGGTTATTGTTAAGCTGAAACTCGAGTAACTGGATGGAGAAAAGTGAACAAAGCAGCAGCTACTCGATTTGCCTCTTCTCCATCCCGTAGATAGTTCCTCTCGTTTACAAGGTACCAGTGACTGTGTCCACCAAGGGGAAGGACACGGACGGGCTCCCGCAGCCCCTGACGCGCGCGGAGAAGCGCAGAGCGCCTTCCCTCTCGGCCGGAACCGGGTCTGTGCGCCCAGGGTGGGGGTCTCACAGCGTGGCCCCTTTTTTTAGGGCATGAACTACCTGGAGGACCGGCGCCTGGTGCACCGTGACCTGGCCGCCAGGAATGTCCTGGTGAAGACGCCACAGCACGTCAAGATCACAGACTTCGGGCTGGCCAAGCTGCTGGGGGCCGAGGAGAAGGAGTACCACGCGGAAGGAGGCAAAGTAAGGGGCAGGCTCGTCGGCCAGCGGCGTCTTCCGCCAGCACGCTAACTGATGTGGGGGAGGTTCCGGGCGACGCCACGGCCGCTCCACCGACAGCTGGGTCCAGCGAGGTCTTCTGTCCCTGCAAGCTGGAGCAGCTTGGGGAGCAGGATTTGCTGGGAGGGTGGGTCCTTTCCGACGTGTTCGGAGGCCAGATGCAGCACACATGGTCTCAGCTCCCTCTCCAGGCTAGCCAAGGGTGCCTTTCAACCCCCCCCCCCCCCCCCCCGCAGGATAAAGCACCCTTCAGAAGAACAGCTGGGGACATGTCACAGCTAATTTGGTGGCACACTGCTGTTGAGGACATCTCAGAAATACGGAAAGCTCCCAAGTTGTTCTGAGAGTTCCCGAGGTTATATGTGACTCATGCCCGGCACTGGCAGCAGTGGGGTGGGCCCCCCCTCTAAGACAGGTTTGGGGGCTCTCCATGGGACTCTTCCCCCAGCAGGGAGGGGCACAGGTCTCCTGTTAGGCCTTCTGGAATATTCTGGATCAGCTGTACCCCTCTTACGTTTCACTCTGGCCTGCGTTGCTCCAATCAGCTGGCCCAAGCAAGCACCCACAAACGCAGGGTGGATAGGACTACAGGGCACTACCAGGGCCCCAGCTCACCAGGCCCACCCACAGCTGCCAAGCCTGGAGCCTAACAGAACAGCCCTGCTCTCAGCCAGATTTAAAACCTGTCCCTCCTGCTGGGAGAGCACTAGGCCTGGGGGATAGGAGTGGGGGTGGCTGGCTTTCCCACGTTTGTCACTTGCAATTTGTCCCAGCGTGATTTAATGGTTTTCAGCAGAGGGAAGCTAATAGTTGTCTTATTACTTTATCTCTCGTCATCCCTAGGTGCCTATCAAGTGGATGGCTTTGGAATCCATTTTACACCGAATTTACACCCACCAAAGTGACGTCTGGAGCTATGGTGAGTCAAAATCCCGATGCTAATGACTTTGTACTGAGGCAAAGCTGTCTTGCACTGTTTGTTGACTTACATTATATGCTCTGCCATCCAAGTTATTTTCTTCCAAGACAATGACTAACAATAACGTAACAGCTGCTGTCTATCTTTTGTACTAAGAAAACGTGACAAAGGAAATTGAGTCTAACTACCATGCTAAGCACCACTGGAGATATTAGTGACCTTGTCAAGAGGGGATAACGGGGCAGAGAGAGCTTAAACTTAGGAAATGCCTGTGCCTGCAAAATCAAACCAAACTTGACCTATTGCCATGAATTTGAAGTCAACCAAAGGAAGATGACAAATGAGTTTTCACGGGGAAGCGTTTCCAGTAGAGAAACGAGGTTAAGTGAAGGATTAACTCAGGTGGCTAGTGGTCCATAGAGTGAATGGCAGTCTCCGTATGGGAGAGAATGGCTTAACAAAAATGCACCGTGAGGATGTCTGCGGGAAAACAGTAAGGAAAAGGGAGGCCGTGACTGCTTCCAGCACTGGTGAGGACCAGCTCATCAGGGCCCGATTCTCATTCCTGCTCCGAATCGCACCATCGCCTGCACAGGCCCAACCCCATCCTCTGAGGAGCTTCCCTGTTCCCAGCAGGCCTTTCACTGTCTTGCTTCGCTGCCTCTGTACGAAGGGCTTCCTGAGCCTGCAGGGCCTCATCCTTTAAGAAAGTGTCACTAACGCATTGTCACTGACTGCTGTGCTACGTGTCCTCCCATGTCACCCAGCCATCTGCTGAAAGGCTGCAAATCTTCCCTACTATGTCTACTTGTGACTTATCAGCCTATCCGCAGCTATTAAAGCAGCGGGTGAAGAGGAGGCGTCACCCCAACCACTGTAGCAATGTGTCTGTGGGGGAAGCAATGTTGAAAGGAATTTCCAAGAGGCATTTAGTCATTGTCACAAAAACAAAATCATTCAGGATATTGTCCACTTAGCATTTTTTTCACAGCACTGTTAACTTCCTAACATTCCAAATGTATTTTTTTTTTAATTTCATGGATCTTCGTTTCACCTCTTCAGAATCAAATTTTACAAAGGCAGAGATCTTTGTGAATGGATGAATTTTTACAAGTACCTGTGAGCTGAGCTGTCAACAATTAATGAACTAGATAAGGAAATAAAAATCTTCTGATGGCTTCTTAGTTTTAGTCACTTTCAAGATAAGTCTACCCCCCAAGACGGGAGGAAAGACGTGCTTTTTTTCCCACCCCGGGACCCTGCCCAGAGTCATCTTCCTTGTCACCGCAGTAGCACAAGTCACCTCTTTCCCTCAGTGACACCACAGCAGGGGCTTCTAATGGGTCTTCTCTCTTCCTCTTTTGCACAAGCTCATCTAGTCTCCAGATAGTGAGGAAAAAATATTTTTAACCATAGCGGGCTTTCCCTCATTTTCCAACTTTGCATCCTGTATATTAATTCAGGCCATTTCGTTTGGGATGGCCCCTGGAAAACCCAAGCAGGTTTGTGGTATCTGGAGGCCATCGGACCAACTGGAGATCAGGAAACCACCGGGTCTGTGTCTGACCCCTCCCTGTGTGGTCTGGAGACCCAGGCCCAGTCCCACTGAGGGAATCGCTAGTGGCATCACAGGGCACATTCACTGTCCAGGTGGGGATAAGCTCCCTAAGGTGTTTGTATGTTTCTAGGGCAGAGAATTCCAGGCACAGAGGCACAGAGATGGAAAGACCATCAGAACTCAGGGATGGTCTGCAAAACAAACACCAATTCTAAAATTACTACTGCTTTGATTTTTTTTTTCTTTTAATCATGATGATTGCTTTTGTAACAAAAAGTACAGGATTTTTATGTTTATCAAAAGAACATAGGGATTTTTTTTCTCCCTCTCTCTTTTTCTTTTCTTTCTTTCTTTTTTTGTTTAAAACCCCAGTTTATGTCCTTGTTTGTAATCTCCATCTTCCCACTTCCGAGTCACTTAGGATAGCTGTGTGAGTGTGTCACTCCTGCTCCATAGCATAATAATATTTATGTTATTAGCGTGGTTGTGCTGTCTTTGTTTTTATTGCTAAAGTTTACCACTTACTGGCCACTTACTATGTGCCTGGCATTGTCTGAACATTTCAGCTGTATTATCTTCTTTGATCCTCACAACCACCTAGGAAAACAGACACTGTCATTATCCCACTTTACAGAGCGGTAAACTGAGGCTTCCAACAGGGAAGCAAATTGCCCCAGGCCACAGAAACCTAGGTTTTTAAACATTAGAAACAGTATCAACAATGATGACTAAAGACAAGGCGTGATTATCGACTCAAAGTGGCTACTTCATCCCGTCAGGGGTCACCGTTTGGGAGCTGATGACCTTTGGGTCCAAGCCTTACGACGGAATCCCGGCAAGTGAGATCTCAACCATTCTGGAGAAAGGCGAGCGCCTCCCGCAGCCGCCCATATGCACCATCGACGTCTACATGATCATGGTCAAATGTGAGTAACTGCTGTGCCGTCCACATTTGCTTAGCTGGACCTTGGCACTCACAGTGCCTTTCTGTGCCCAGGAAGCATTGCCGCCTCCAGCCAAATAATTGAGACTTTAGATTTCCCCAAAGAAATGCTGTCACACTCTTTACAGCAGGCAGTCGAGTTCAAAAACTTCCGTCAATCCCACCCGCCTCCCCAAACATTCTTCAGGAAGTGCTTGCTTGGCTCACTGAGCATTGTGACCTGACATTTGCCTGTGTTTGCAGGCAGGTAAATAAAATCAAAATCCTCCGTAAGCCGTTACACCAAAATGTCCAGTTCTGAGTTGCTCAATGAAAAAGCCGCCCCCCCCCGCCCCCATTTTGAAGCTTGTTACCAGAGAGACTGTTTTGAAATGCCTAATGATGAGTAAGCACATGAGACTGATAGAATCAACATTTCTGCTTTGACTTAAACCTTTCAAATAGTGGATTTATGTGAGGTCGTACTGCAGAGTAGCAAGTAAACATTTTAATCCAAATAAGAGTGTGAAACTTGGTTGGTGCTGCTATTCCACCCAAATCACGAGTTCAGCAGGCTAAGGAGGTGACGTTCCGTGTGTGATGGGCATTTCCACAAGAAGCAGCACAGGGAATAGCATGGAGCAAAGCTAAGGTGCACATTAATGCCTTTCTGAACTTCGGATCACAGAGTTCATCTATTTCAACTTCCTGGCTTTGGCCCGAGGAAGCGGGGGTCCAGAGAGATTGCATGATTTGTCAAAGGTCACATAGCAGTCTGGCCTAAAATAGCCTGACATCCTGCTGATAGAAACTAAATGGGAACCCTCAAGAGGCACGAGGATTTCCAGGCGCTCGCTGCTCCTCCGGCTTGTGTCACCCAGGCCTAGGTCACTGTGGAAGCAAGTGCACGGGCATGGCTGGCCCAAGTGTCCTCCTAAGGAAGGCACTGGAATACCCCGTCACCTGCATGCGTGTTTACTGAGCGTGTCACACCGTGAAAGCACCAGGGCAGGGCGTTCCCAAAGCCCGAGGTTCCTAATGCAAGTCCCTAAGTTTCCCTAAATGGAATCTGGTTTCAAGCTTGCAAGATTGTTGAGTGAAAGTAGAGAAGGGTGATCACTGAGTGAGGGCTTTGAGAGCCTGGACACCAGGGCACCTGCAGTCAGAGCAGTTCACAGAGAGCGATGCATGTAACACGGCCGCTGGGTCACTTAAGGCGAGGCCTGAATGCTGGCCCTAGGAGAGCAGGCGCAGAGAACTGGAAGATGTTGTTGTCATTCCGATTCCTACATGTCGTGGCCTTTAAACAGTAATCAGCGCTGGTTTGCCGAGGCCAAAGGTTAGATCTCTTTCTTCTTCATTTATTTGTCTAAAAGGATCTCACCCTAAGTGCTTTCTTTAAGCAGTGCCACTTGTATCATTTCTTTTCAGGGTTCTGACGGTACCATTTTTTCTCGTTCCTTCTCCAGGCTGGATGATAGATGCAGATAGTCGCCCAAAATTCCGCGAGTTAATCGTTGAATTCTCCAAAATGGCCCGAGACCCCCAGCGTTACCTTGTCATCCAGGTACCAACCAGATCTCAGTCTGCACTTCTATCAGGAAAACTCCCTCCATGGGGCATCAGATGTCACTGTGCTCCATCGGGGGGCCCACACTGTCACCCAGGCCATGTCAGTAGATGCTCGGTGCCCCGGGGGAGGCACAGGCCACGCTGTGAATGAAGTGGAGCTCATCCACTGTGCCTTGCAGCTCTGTTTGCTGCCCCCACCTGAGCGCCAGTGTCCAGACAGCCTCCCACACTCCCCGACACTCTGTTTCAGGCGTCACTTTTGTGCGTCAGCTCGTCAAAGCCTTCGGGCCAAACCTGGCTTCAAATCCCTGATTCTCCACTTAACCACCTTTGGTTAACAAAACCAAGCTCATGGGGTTGTGTTAGAGATTCGATGACATAATATATGCAAAACACATCGCATAGACCCCCAAAGGTTCTGCTGAGCAGTTGCAGAGTGTGTGTGTGTGTGTGTGTGTGAAGGGGGAAGGGTGACAGGGAAAGGCGGGTTTTCCCCACACCAGCACGCAAGCAATTCACCACCAGCGGGCGCCCTACAATTCGTCTCAATTCTGGCACTACCTGGAGACAGCGTCCCATCCCCCAGGTTACGGGCTCAGACCTCCAAGGCTGCTCCCCGCCTCTTCCTCTTCAGATGCCAATTGCAAGTCTGGGTTTCTGACCGACAGGCTATAAATCAGACGTTTCTACAACCCTCTCCTTGGGTTCCATTAATGTGCTAGAGCAGTTCTCACAGCTCAGGAAACCCATTTACTGACCAGATCACTGGTTTATTATAAACGGATATAACTGGGAACAGCCAGAGAGAAGAGATGCACAGGGCATGAGGGGGAGAAGGAAGGGGTTCCCATGGCCCCCCCCCCACCGTGCATCGCTCTCCCCAGATCTCCATGTGCTTACCAGCCTGGAAGCTCTCTGAACCCCATCCTTTTGAGTTTTTACGGAAGCTCCATTGTATGGATGATTGACGGAATCGCTGGCCATTGGTGATTGAGCCCACCTCCAGCCCCTCCCCCTCGCACAGGTTGGTGGGTGGGACTGGAAGTTCCAAGCCTCTAATCACGAGGTTGGTTTTCCTGGCAACCAGCCCCCTTCCTTAGGTGTGGGCCTAAAGCCACCTCGTTAACGTAACAAAGGGCACCTTCCTGGCTCTCAACACGGAGGAAATTCCAAGGTTTTTAGGAGCTTTGTGCCAGGAACAGCAGGCAAGGCCAAATATATATTTCTGATTACAAATCACGACATCACAGCACCTAACTGCGTAGTACACACTCCATAAATGCTGCGATTTCATCCCTTTCTTTCCCCTCTTGAGTTGTTTTGTGTTGCATTCAGAGAGGCTTTTAGACACTAAGGAGTTTTTCATGTTTTACTTTCATGGGGGGAGGGGAGGAAGCAGCTCTACTTCTCGGGGAGGTGGGGACGCGGCTGTAGCTGACCTGGCAAACATGCAGGCACCTGCTGCCAGTACACCTAGAGGCGGGATTGCATGCCTGTGGGCCTGTCTAACGGGCTCGAAATCTCTGCTCCAGGGGGATGAGAGAATGAACCTGCCCAGCCCGACAGACTCCAATTTCTATCGCGCCCTGATGGACGAAGAGGACATGGAGGACGTCGTGGACGCGGACGAGTACCTCATTCCGCAGCAAGGCTTCTTCCACAGCCCCTCCACGTCCCGGACCCCACTTCTGAGTTCTCTGGTAAGAGGCTGCGCTGTTCCCCAAGCCGTGTCGGTTGGTTTGAACAAATTGAGTCTTAGAGGAAGTGATGCCTGTCTAGTGGAACTCACACAGAGACGAAGACGTCCATGTTAACCAAGCAGCAGAGCCAAAATCGGCATGAATCGATTCAGTGTATTATTTTATTGCATTGCGACAACCCGATTGTAACCTTGTTAGCTTCACTCGGGAACAGAATTGAACAGAACTAAACCTAGTTGTTCTAAAGCTGATGGGTCGAGATGAAACGAAGCACCTTTAGATGCATCTACTGCATGAGACACCTCGTTCAGTCCGTGGAAATGGGTGAGAACATGCAGGCGCTGCATAAACAGCTCCCGTTCCTCCCGTTCTTTTTCAGAGCGCCACCAGCAACACTCCCACTGTGGCCTGCATTGACAGAAACGGGGTATGTATGACAGCCCGAGGAACAGCTCTGTCTCCTGGCGCTCGTTTGCGTAGAAAATGCCCCTCTGAGCCCACGGGAGCTTGAGTCCCCTTCCTGCTTCATTGCTTCTCCCCTGCATGGTTCCTGGACCGACCCTACGGCCAGCAGCGAACAGTCACTTTCTTGCAGTGCTGTTGAGGATGTCTCTCAGGAACCAAAAGCATCAGCATCGCCTGGCAGTTTGTAAGAAAAACGCAAACTGGGGGGCCACTGCCCAGACCTCCAAAGCCGGGCCTTTAGGGGTGCCCCCCAGCCTCCCTCCCAGGTGGTGCTGAGGCGTGCTATCAGGAAGCCTTGGTGTGGACCCCCACTGACCAGTATAGAAGCCACTAGCCAGCGGTGGCTACTTAAATTGAACTTGTCATTCATTAAAACTGAACAATGAGTTCCTCACACAAGTGGCTCGTGGCTGCCGTAAGGACCAGCACAGATGATGGACCGTTTCTGTCCTTCGGGCAGGCCTGCTAGCCAGCACTGACTGGGGCCTTGGCACCCGCCCTGTGGTCCCTAGACCAGCAGCGTGGCTGTCACCGGGAGCCCGTTAGAAATGCAGAGTCTCGGGCTCTGCCCAAAACCTGCTGAATCAGGTCTGCTCTGTGATAAGATCTCGGGTGATTACACACATTGGAGCCTGCACAGAACTGACTAGAGTAATCTTGCCTCCTTTCCTCCCCAGCAGAGCTGTCCCCTCAAGGAAGACAGCTTTCTGCAGCGCTACAGCTCAGATCCCACAGGCACCCTGACTGAGGACAACATAAATGACACTTTCTTCCCGGCGCCTGGTGAGTGGCTCGTTCCTCAGCCTGCCCATCCAGCAGTGGCCAGCCTCCATGCCCTGGTGCCCAGGCCGCTGCTTCCTCAGGCTGGCCCAGAGGTGGACACAGTGGCAAATCTGCAGACATAGTGAAGGAAGTGAGAGGCAGAGAAATACAACAGGACTGAGCATGGCACACGGTCTTTGTTGAGCTCAAGTCGTATCCAGGTGGTTGGTTGGAGGTTGGTTTTTAGAATGAATCTGCAGATTTTCTAGAATGTGAAGCAAAGAGCTCAGATATGTGTGTGTGTGTGTGTGTGTGTGTGTGTGTGTGTGTGTGTGTGTGTGTGGGAGAGAGAGGGGAGGAAGGGAGAGAGAGAGAGAGAGAGAGAGAGAGAGAGAGAGAGAGAGAGAGAGAGAGAGAGAGAG